CTGTGGCCTATGGCAGGGATAGGCAACCTTGGCTCTTTTATGACTCGTGGACTTCAACTCCCAGAATTCCTGAGCCAGCAAAGGAATTCTGGGAATTCAAGTCCACGAGTCATAAAAGAGCCAAGGTTGCCTACCCCTGCCCTATGGAAACAAAGTGGGACTTCTATGAAGCACGTTAGACAGTATTGAGGTTTATGAACTTTAGGAGAAGATTCCAGAGAATACCATGGAAAAACAAGGAATACTTTGGATACATGTGAAGACTGACTTCTCTGGAGAAGGTTCTAATACTGGGAAAGGTGGTGGAAAGAGAAGAGGGCAATCAGTACAGGTAATCCTCAACTTACAACCACAATTGAACCCAACATTTACACTAGTGAGAAATTTGTTAAGTGAGTTTCACCTCATTGTACAACTCTTTTTTGCCACATTTATTAAGTGAATCACTACAGTTCTAATATTAGTAACACGGTTGTTAAGTGAATCTGGTCTCCCCATTGACTCTGTTTGTCAGAAGATCACAAAAGGGAGAATTGCATGACTCCGGGACACTGCAACCGTCATAAATGTGAGCTGTCAAGCATCTGAATGTAAATTGTGACACCGTGGGGATGCTGCAATGGTCGTAAGTGTGAAAAATGGTCATAAGTCACTTTTTTTAGTGCTGTTGCAACTATGAAAGGTCACTAAATGAACTGTTCTAAGTCGAGGACTACCTGTAACGAAGCTGATGGACTCAATTACAGAAGCAATGAATGCACCTTTGGAAGACCTGAAGGGACCAGACTGAGACAGGTCCTCCTGGAGAAAATCTATCAATGTGGTTGCTAAGTCAACTCCAACGCCAACTTGATAGCACATCATCGATACATGCCAGCAAATAACAAAACCTTCTCCCAACTCACCCTTCTGTGTATTCGGCCTGCAAGAGGCCCAGGTATGCTTCCCACTTGTTCCCCACAACTTTGCCACAAGTGAAGCATCGTACAGGGATGATCATTGTGAACTTGCCTAGCGAGAAAGAGAAAGCTGTGAGTCAATCAGGCCTCTAATATTTTCTCCAATCTTTCTCAATTATTTGGCCTGTCTTTAAGAACAGGTATTAAAACAGTGTTGCGCTGCATCAAGGCTAGAGGGATCTCTAAATTTCTTGCTGGTTTTTTTTTTTTTGCAGCCAACCAGATCTTCTGGTCATCCAGATTTTTTGTAGCCCGTATTCAGTCACCTTGTTCCAATATAATTTTGACCACTCAGCATGTCAGGTAATATATCGAAGCACTGCACAGGAGATAAAATTTTTGGTGATCCATGCCCAAGAAGATCCATATTCTTTAAGACCCATCACACTCTTAGAGATGATAGAAAGATCGCAGCCTGAAGTGAAATAGGTTAAGACGGATTGCGAGAAATAAATTTATTATCTTTATTGTCCCCTTTGCTGACGATAAAACAAGAGGACATTTTCAAACCACTTGTAAAGCAGAAAGTATAAAACACTTGTCTCAAAAAAAGTAGGTCACAATTACCAGTATGAAATTTCATCAGAGTCACAGTTATTGATGAGCAGTTGAGTGTTATTGCCTCCAATAAATATTTGGTCCATATATTGCCTCAGTTTTTCCCTGATAAAACTTTTCTTTTTCAAGAAGCTGATAACTAAAGGGCCTCACTCTTTTATTGGACCTGAAAAACTGTACAGGTGGCTACTTGGAACAGGAGAGATTTTTTAAAATTGATGGGTACTGGCTAGAGAATTCTGGGAGTTGTAATCCTCGCATCTTAAAGTTGCCAAGTTTGAGAAACAAGAGCTTGATATGGGGATCACATACCCCAACCTACCCAGTCTTTAGTTATGCTGGCTTGCGGTTCTGTGAATTACAACTCCAATATGCAGAAGGGGTCAATAAATTGAGCTGGTACCAATTACCAGCTCAATTAATCCCCAAATGGATTAATTCATTAAATTACAGGAGATCCCCCAAAATGGGATAATTTAGTAAACAATCATTGAATTATTCATATTAGGCTTTCACTTCAATGGAAAGTCCTTATTTTTCTCATTAGATTTCCCCCACCTCCATTTTGGTCAGAAAGATAAAACATAACTATCACAAATTATCTTGAGAAGCAGAAAACCTCAGCCCTCTTTTTCCTGCTTGTTAAAACCCGCATGCCAGTCTTTATAACTCAACACGTGCTGCTTTCCCATTACAGTACTGTGTCAGTTCGTTTTGGAGTAGGGGTGTCTAATCTCGGCCACATTTAAGACTTGTGGACTTCAATTCTGGGAATTGAAGTCTACAAGTCTTAAAAGTGGCCGAGGTTAGACACCGCTGCTTTGGAGGGAAGAAGGGGGGAAAAAACACTCTTCTCCAGTTTAATTGTTGCCTATAATGCGAGAGAGGAGCCTGACCTACAAAGTGGTCAATTCTCTCTCTCTCGGGTCCCTAATGGACTCTTGCTTCAGGCTGGCTCCCAGCCCTCCTTTAGCCTCCCCCCCCCCCGGCCAATTCTCAAGTCCCTCGTCTCCACCCCCATCTTTAACTCGGCCCTTTCTCTCCGGCTGAGCCTTTCCCCCTCTTTTCCGGCAGGAACCCGCCGGGCGCCTCGCAGCGATCGAGCCCTCTCCCCCTGCTCCTCCGTCGCAGCGCAGAGAAACCCTTCCCTTCGCCAACACGCCCCGGTCTCCGCTCCCACCTTCTCCGAGCTCCGCTTTTCTTTCGGATCGCGCTGCAAATGGTGGGGCGCAGGCAGCCGCGCGGTCACTTCCTTTGCGCTTCGGCTCGCTAGAGGGCGCTGCAGGGCGGCAGCCTCTCTGCAAGAGGCGGAGGAAAGCCGCGACGGCGGGGAAGGGGAAGCTCCTCCCTTTCCTCCCGAAGGGCATCCCGTTTGTCTGAACAATCGAGCCCGTGAACCCGAGGCTGTGTTTTGTTATTGTTGGCAGGCTTGACTTTTCCGACTTTAGTTCCTAGGAATACAGGTAGTCCTCGACTTACAACAGTACACGCAGTGACCGATCGAAGTTAACAACGGCACTGAAAAAAGTGACTGATCACCGTTTTTCACACTTACGACCTCTGCAGCATCCTCAGGGTCACCGGTCAAAATTCAGATCCTTGTTAACTGGTTCACATTTCTGATGGTTGCAATATCCCGGTGATCATGTGATCACCTTTTTTGACCTGATAAGCAAAGTCAATGTGGAATAATTAGAATAGAATAGAATAAGAACAGGGAATAAGAATAGAACCTTGAAGGTCTTCTAGTCCAGCTGCCTGCTCAAGCAGTCTTTTAAAAATCTCCAGTAATGGAGTGCCCACGATTTCTGAAGGCAAACTTCCACTGATTGGTTGTCTTCGCTGTCAGGAAATTTCTCCTTAATTCCAGGTTGTTTCTTTAATCAGTTTCCAACCATTGTTTCTTGTCCTTCCCTCTGGTGCTCTGGTAAACAACCTGACCCCTTCTGCCTTGTGGCAGCCCCTCAGATACTGGAACACTGCTATCATGTCTCCCCTATTTATTTTTTTCTTTAGACTAGCCCAGTGGTGGCGAACCTATGGCATGGGTGCCAGAGACGGCACTCGGAGCCTTCTCTGTGGGCACACGTGCCATTGCCCCAGCCTCACCTTCCCCCGCAACCCCCTTCTTTCCAGCAGCCCCCCTGAAGGAGAGTCGCCCGAGCGTGGCCCATGCAGAGCAGTGCAATCAAGGACATGGCAGCCAGGCAGCGTAGACAAGACTGCCCTCACACCCCATCATGCAGTTGATGCTGCAGGGCGCGGGCAGAGGGCGTGACTGCCAATGGGCTGCTTGGGAGATCTGCGTTGGGCCCTAGAGGCAATGAGTGGCCCTGTGGGCAGGCGGCGTGGGGGATAGGGGGTGGGGCAGAGCAGGGGCGGGGCAGGGGGTGGAGTGGGAGCATGGCCAGTTTTTGGGCACTCGGTCTCTAAAAGGTTTGCCATCACTGGACTAGCCAAACTCAAGTCCCGTAGCCGTTCTTCATATTTTTTAGTCTCCGGGCCCCTGATCATCTAAAGCCAGGTTCACTTCACAACTTTCTTACTAATTGAACAACTGCAGTGATTCACTTAACAAGTGTGACAAGAAAGGTCGTAAAATGAGGCAAAACTCCCTTGACAAATATCTCGCATAACAGCAGAAATTTGGGGCTTGATTGTGGTCGTACGTCAGTTGCCAAGTGTCCAAATTTTGATCACATGACCACGGGGATGCTGCAGTGGTGATTAAGTATGAAAAATGGTCATTTGTTTCGGTGCCTTTGTAACTTTGAACTATCACTAAATGAATGGTTGTAAGTCGAGGACTACCTGTACATTAAAAATTATAGGGAAAGACTGAGTAAAATTGAGCAGTGGAGGCAAGGCAAGTTCCTCGATAATTAATTTGCAAGGCAACATGAAGAGAAGTAGTGGCATTACTCTGTGGCAGGAAGCATCAAGGAACATAGTGGCTTAATCCTTTTGTTTTGGAATCTTTTGTTTTGCCTAGTGTGATTGTGTGAATGCGCACCCAGGATTGGGGGTTTAGCTCTTTCCCCCTTCCACACATGTATATATTCACTCAGCTGATGCAGATTGTACCTGCACCCCCAATTCTTGGAAGAGAGGGACCCTTTAGTCTCATGTCTCCCTGTTTTTCTCCAAGAAACATTTGCATTTGTACGCACAAAAAGTTTGTGGTGCTTGTGTGTGTAACGAACGGTGAAACAATTGAAGGAAAGCAGGAGGGGCAGGAAAGATCCACCACCTCCCCCTTCTGCTAACCAAAAAGGATTCCACAGAACTGGATTGACGCGAATCCAGAAAAACTATTATACTGCAGTATTATTTTTAGATTGGGGGCGGATTGAGACTGGCATAAACGACCCAAGTTTTGCTGGGATTAGCAAATGTCCCTTGCGAGAGCCCCTTGGACTCCTCCCCAGTTCCTCAAACCCGCCTTCTCCTCTAGCTGCCCTCTTCCCCCCCACCCATTTCCTTTCCCCTGTCCCATGCCTGGAATTCCTCCCCCCTCCCTTTCCATCCTGCATCTCGCCCTCCAAAGGAGCCACGTTCAGATTTGGAGGTACCTGGGACTGGACGGCCACTTCAAATCCATTCCCCCCCCCCCAAACTGCTCTGAACTGAAGTCAAGGTGAGGGGCACATCTGATAGTGTTTATACTAGGGACGGGGATAAGTGGGGGGGGGAGCAAGGGAGGCAGTCTCCGTCACAAAAGGCTGGAAAGATGCTCTAGAAATAAACAGAAGAAATTTCGAGGTAATTGTGCCCTTTATGTTCCTTTTGGATGGGCTTGTTCCTCTTTTTTAGAGATTATACTTATGTCTTTCTAAATTTCTTCTTGAAAATTGATAACACTTAGCATAAAAGCTATCAGGATTGGAAAACTTAAAAGGCAAACCATTTATTTTTTCTTTAAATGTGGTGGGAAATATATATGTAATTTTAAATATGTCTGTATATTTATATACTTCTTGGTGCAAGATCAGAAAATGGGTGGGTGGGAGAGGAGACCCCAATACCTACTGTAAGTATATGTGCTGTTTTAAAAGTTGGCCTTGTTCTAAAGACTTTTAAAAAGTATTTTATTTTTTACATTCTTTATTTCTCTTCCCTTTCTGACATATTGTCCAAAGGGGCAGGGAGAGAGGAAGCCCATCCATTAAATAAAAATAAATAAACTTTAAATTTAAATAAATGTAAAATAAAATTTAAATTTAAAATTTAAATAAAATGGGTTATATGATTAAAACAAACTAACCAAATACAGTTAACCAGATGTCAAAAATCTGAGATTTCTGTTCAACTAAAGTTAGAATTAAGAGAGCAGTCTATCTGGTTTATCCAAAGTGAATTAGAGGAGAATGTTTCTCCAAAATGCCAAGCGAAGGAGTGAGAAGAGAAACTGAAATGGCAAGAAAGATGAAAGGGGAAGATCCTAAAAATGGAGGGAGTTGAGACAAAATGTGGCTGTTTTATATGGTTTTGAGCAAGGATGGAATACAGGTCTTGATTTAGTTTCTCCATTTCTGGCAGAATTAAAATTAGTCTCATGTGACTTCAACTTGGTTTTTTGCTTTTAAATTGCTTCACTACATTTTACAAGTGTTTCTATTTTTCAATTGGAGGAGCTTTTAATGAAACAAAACAAGCAAAAAAGTAAAACTATAGAAATAGGGGAGAATAACAAGGTTTTATAAGGACTTCTCACATATGTAATATATACAACAATGCAACAGGTTCTATTTTTTAAATGTTAAATATATATTTCTGCTTTTTGACAGATAATATTACTATTTTTGTAACCTTGGAAAATTACTTATATATTATGTCTTGCCACATTTAAAGGCAAAACAAGTAGGTTGCCTTTTAGGCTTTCCAGTTCTGATGGCTTTTATGATAAGTGATCAATTTTCAAGAAGAAATTTAGAAAAACATATAAATACAGTGTTAAACACAGATCAAATACATTGTTACCAAAAGTGTTTTTATAGGCACTCTGCCATTCTGTTCGGTCCTTTTTCTCCCAAAGCATCTCTCTGATTTCTGTTACCCCCCCTCATTCCTAGCTCACATATTTAGCGTTCTGTTTAACATTTCTGGTGGTTTTATTTGATATATGTTTATAGGAGAACTATTTTTTCCCATAACAACAAGAACCCTGTGGGATAGAGTAGATTAAGGACACTATGGGCACATTAAAAGTGTACAATAGAATCACAGAGATTGGCAGGCTAAGGTTTTCTGCCTTTAAATTATGTTGAACCCGTTTTATATTTATAACACTTTTTTCATATATTTCCCACTGATGACTACATTTGGGAAAGCTACTTTTAGCTTTATGATAGATAAAATTCTGGCCCCAATTTGGTTGTGAGCCGAGAATTACTTTTATTACACTACATTCAGGTAGTCCACGACCTACAACAGTTCATTTAGTGATCATTCAAAATTACAACGGCACTGAAAAAAGTGACTTATGATTGTTTTTTACATTTACAACCACTGCAGCGGTAGTCACGTGATCAAAATTCAGATGCTTGGCATGACGGTTGCAGTGTCCCTGGGTCATGTGATCACCTTTTGTGACCTTCAGACGAGCAAAGTCAATGGGGAAGCCAGATTCACTTAACAACCATGTTACTAATTTAAGAACTGCACTGATTCGTTTAACAACTGTGGCACGAAAAGTCATAAAATAGGGCAAAATTCAATTAACAAATGTTTCACTTAGCAACAAAAAATTTGGGCTGAATTATGATCTTAAGACATATATACACAGACACACATATACATATACATATACATATATATATATATATATATGTATATCGTTGAAACGTTGCCAAGACACTTCCAATTTTACGCGGGAGAAAACCCGAACAACCAAAGACCTACATACAAATACCCGCGAAAACCTCAGAAAACATACACACATACATATATATATATATACACACATACACACACATCCAGCATGTGTGTGTTTGTGTGTGTGTGACAATATACCGCAACCACAATATATGTATATGTATATATGTATGTATAAAAATACACTGAAGAGTTTTTAATTAAGAAAATTCTAGAATGTGCAGAAATGGATAGACTAACTTTACAGATTAAAGAGAAAGAAGATTCGGTTTATTTTAAAACATGGGATAAATTTTACCAATGTTTAGGAAAACGAACTAGTGAAAAATGAACTTGATATGTTATTTTGAATATATATTAGCAAGAAGTATGATACATATTGACCAATTGATATTGTTTATGATTATTGTTTATCATATTCACTACAGCTATTTACTGTTGTATTAATTAGTATTAACTGAGCATATGTACCCAGACAATAATCTGTTTGCTAAAGCTTGGAAATATTATTGGGGGGCAACCCCAATGTTGTTCCCTATCCTGTCCCAACCCCGATCCTAACCCCACCCTGAAACTTATTCCCTATCCTGGTCCTATTCCTTCCCTAACCCCATAAAACTCAATAAAAACTTCTAAAAAAATACACAATACAGATGAAAATACTCAACAATATACACAATAAATATCCCCAACCAGTCAGCACATTTCAGTTTTAGTATTCTCCAGAAATGTTCTGGAGTAACCAAGTTTTAAAAAGCTTTTGGAAGATCATGAAGGAAGGAGCCGTGGTCCTCTCCAGTCCTTGGAGACCGTCAACAAGGACTTTGCTTGCCCATGTTTGGCTGGCAAAATCTGCCTAGAACAGGTGCTCTCGTTGATACTAAGGCCCTTCATTGTCATACATTTTTTATTGGCAATAGCTAGTACCTTGAACTGCAATATTGAATTGCAAAGAAATGGAGTGATAGCCAAATGCCTGTGCAACTACAATAATGGCAGCAGGGGCCTGATCCACTGTTGAACAAGCAGCCATGTTCTGAAGTTGCAGATGGTGGTCTTCAAGAGCATCCTTGCATAATGTAAGTTACTGTAATCCAGTTGGGGACTGACAAGGCATGGAAGATTGCATAGTGACACCCGGTTCAGGAAAAGGTACAGCTTATGCCTCAGCCACACATGAATCCTTCTGACCATAGCTGCCAGTTGCTCTTCTCCTAAAAAGTGAACCTACCCATTCAGGTGTAGTGCAACCCTGTCTTGGATCATAGATGGCCACTTACATTGGAAGACTTCTGGGCTCCATCTTTAACATAAAAACACAGAAACCTAGAATCATAGGGCTGGAAGGGACTTTAGGAGTCTTCTAGTCCAGTGGTCCCCATCCTTTATGTCTTGGTGGCCCAAGGAGGGGGAGAGGGGATATGCATATGTGCGCCAGCCCACTACTTACACAACCCGGTTCCAAACAGGCCGTGGCCCAGGGGTTGGGGATCCCTGTTCTAGTCCAAGCCCCTGCTCAAGGCAGAAGCCTTATACCATCCCAGTCAAATGGTTGTCTACTCTATTTTTGAAAATCTCCAGTGATGGAGCACTTGCAACCCCAGGAGGCAAGCTATTCCACTGATTAATTGTTCTCATGGTCAGAAAAATTCTCCTTATTTCTAGGTTAGGTCTCTCTTTAACAAGCTTCCACCCATTGCTTCTTGTCCTGCCTTCAGGTGCCTTAGAGCAGGCTTTTCAACCAGTGGTACGGGTACCACCTGTGGTACATTGGCACCTGGCAGGTGCTATGTGACCATCTTAGAAAAGTGGTAGCGGGGGAGGGGAATGAGCTGAACCAGTAGCAGCATCGCACAAGCCTGAGTGAGAGATGGCTGGAGCTGTAGGGCTGTCAGGGCTCAGTAGAAGCGCCAGGATCAGCGCCAGGCTCCAGCTGGAGCTCAGTGCTGATCCTGATGCTTCTGCTGAGCCCAGATGAAGCGCCGATCAGCTGGAATGTTGCAGCATCTCCAGGGTCTTGTGATTTACATTCAGATGCTTGGCAACTGATTTATATTTATGATGGTCACAGTGTCCCAGGGTCATGTGAAGTGATCAAAGCCTGCTGCAATCACCCAGCAGAGGGGGGAAATAAAAACCAAACACCCCCCACTCCACCCCCGCTGCCAATCCTCAACAGAAATGCTTACAACAATGAAAACCTCGGACAGGAGAAAGAGCACCGCCAGGTGCTGTCTTGCTCAGCTGTGGCTTGGGGGGGCACTTTTTTCAGTACCATTGTAACTTAGAACAGTCACTAAGCGAACTGTTGTAAGTTGAGGACTACCTGTAGTTTATCACTTTTTTTTTTTTTTTTGGTCATCAAGTTTTCGACACCTTGCTAGGCGACTGGTGATACTCGGATGTTGCATATCCTAAAAGTGGTACAATGGGTGAAAAGGTTGAAAAGCCCTGCCTTAGAGCAGACATGTCAAACACAAGGCCCAGGGGCTGGATGCGGCCCGTGAAGTGGTTCCATGTGGCCCGCGAAGCCATCCTGGAAACAGTAAGGGAACGGCCCTCTCTGCCTTGGCCCTGGCCCAGGCCAGCCGGGAACCAATGTACAATTTTGTGGTGGCCATCTATGCTGAAACACATTCAGTCTTAGCTCCACAAGGCTGTCTGGAAACAGTGAGGAACCAGGAGAACCTTGAGCAGCTGCCTTGAGGAAGTGGGGCTGGGCTTGGTGCCGCGGGTGCTCAAGGGTAAGCCTCTGCTGCCCAGGGCTCCGGGCAGCCCGCACCACCATCCAGCCCCCCCCCCGCATGGCCTGAGAGGAACAGTGAGGCTCCTCCAGTGGACCATGCCTTGGCACTTGCCCTGGTCCCACCCCTTCTGTCAGAGACCCTCAGATCTGTCTCACTACTGCCCAGGCCCCGACAGGCATCCTTGATGCAAACAATATAGAGCTGGCCATGCCCACCCAGTAGGCCGCACCCACCCTGGCTACACCCACCCGGCCCCCTAAGGGCAACTGCAATGCTGATGCAGCCCTTAATGAAATTAAGTTTGATACCCCTGCCTTAGAGAATATGTCAATCCCCTCTTCTTTGTGGCAGCCCCTCAAGTAGTGGAAGACAGCTATCATGTCCCCCATAATCCTTTTCTTTGATGGGCTTGACATGCCTAGCTCCCTCCAGACCCCTATCATCTTTTTTTGCTCTTCTCTGCATTTTCCTTCCCATCCAGACTCTTGACAACTTCCAGCCATGACACTGAGACCTCCACCACATCACACATAATGGTTTAATCCATTTCTTACAAAATGTTTAACTGAGATAATGGTTTTAGAGTATTCAGTGTCCCTCACAATTGTGTGGAGATGGTCAGTTTCTACATGGCATATTTTCTGTTTGTTAAACTGCACACCAGCTGCCCCAACCTGGGGCTCTCTGGAAGTGTTGGGATTATAAATGTGTCTGTTTCAAGTTGACATGGGAATTGCAGTCCTGCACCTCTGGATGGCATCAAATGGGTGAAGGCGGATGTCTATAACTAGCCCTCGACTTATGATCGCAACTGAGCCCAAAATTTATGTTGTTAAGTGAGACATTTGTTAAGTGAGTTTTGCCCCCTTTTACGACCTTTCTTGCCACAGATGTTAAGTGAATCACTGCAGTTGTTAAATAAGTAACATTAATAACAGTGACAGTGAATCTGGCTTCCCCATTGACTTTGCTTGTCAAAAGGTCGCAAAAGGGGATCACGTGACCTTGGGATGCTGCAGCCGTTATAAATACATGTCAATTGCCAAGGGTCTGAATTTTGGTCACATGACCATTGGGATGCTGTAATGGTCACAAGTGTGAAAAACGGTCATAACTCACTTTTTTCAGTGCCATTGTAACTTTGAATGGTCACTAAATGAACGGTTGTAAGTGGAGGACTACCTACACTTGCTTAAGAGGAACACCAAACTAAGTAGGGCAGAGGTATCTGTGTGCGTGTGTGTGTGTGTGCGTGTGTGTGTGTATAAAAAGTCAAGATGGTGGCTGTGCAATTGAGGTCCCACTGTTTTTTTATATGTAATTCAATGGAGACAATGTGGAGCTGGCAAATATGTAGTAAAATGACATTTTTTGGTTGGGCTTGGGGAAAAAAAAAAACAGAACAAATTCAAATTCCTACTTAATTACAACAGCTTATTGGCTTGCTTCATCGGGATAGGATAAGATGGAACAAGTCCAGCATTGTTTTGGGTTAAAATGTGTCCTTTTATGCTCCAATGCAGTTTGTTTTTCATGTTTGCATGAGGTCTCACTCTTGATTCGATTAAACATGTTCAAATAAGACTATAAAGATTATTTGCTCTTCATCAAACAATGGGTCCTATATATGAAGAGTCACAAGTCCCACTGAGACCAACTAATTAAAATAAGGCTTTCTCCTAGATCGGTATTTTTCAAACTTGGCAACTTTAAGATAGGAGGCTTGGGAATTGAAGTCCACACATCTTAAAAGTTGCCAGGTTTGAAAAACGCTACCTTAGATAAATATACAAGAGCCTGTAGTCCATTATCAGGCCCAATTCTAGACATTTTGATGCCCTAGGCCAGGATGTCAAACTGCCGGCTGGCAGGCTGGATGCATCATAGCGAAACCGCGCCCACCCCATTGCCGGCAATGGCAAAAAGTCGTGATATGTCGGGACATATCACGTGACGTTGTGAGTTTGACACCCCTGCCCTAGGCATATTATGGGCTCTACTGTAACAGAACAGAATAACAGAGTTGGAAGGGACCTTGGAGGTCTTCTAGTCCAACCTCCTGCTCAGGCAGGAAACCCTATACCATTTCAGACAAATGGTTACCTAATCTCTTCTTTAAAACTCCCAGTATTGGAGCATTTACAACTTCTGGATGCAAGTTGTTCTACTGATTAATTGTTCTAACAGTCAGGAAATTTCTCCTCAGTTCTAAGTGGTTTCTCTGCTTGATTAGTTTCCATCCATTGCTTCTTGTCCTGCCTTCAGGTGCTTTGGAGAATAGTTTGACCCCCCCCCCTTCTTCTTTGTGGCAACCCATATGGTTTGGCTCATCTTCCAATTTTCTTAGAAATGACTTATTTTTCTTCAGGTTTTTTTTGCTTTATGCTACTTTTTTTCTACTTTTTTTCTTGGAAATTTTTACTTATTTACTCTGAATTACAGCAAATAATTTTAATTACTTCAGCACCTATTGTTATCGTATGGCAACCATTCTGTGAAATTAATATTGAGCGAACCATTGGCATGGAGCATGTTCTACTACTACTTATAACTTTAATAAGGTGTTGGTCACGTAACGTGCTAATCACGTGACTCTCTCATTCAGTAATTTAATGTCAAACCTTTGTCTAATATTATCAGCATCCTGAGGTCCCTAGCTGTAATAATAATCTTTCAGGATTTGCAACATCTGATTAGGGTGCTGCTCGCTACACTTGACTGACTTTGTGAGTATTTTCAAAAAGCATAGAAAGAAAATGTTCTAAAACCATAAGAGAAGATTATCACATTTTATACTCATGCATTCTGGAAGTCTTTTCAGTTTTATCAGTCTCTAAAATTTGGTACAGGTAGTTCTTGATTTACAACAGTTCATTTAGTGACCGTTAAAAGTTATAAAGGCACTGCAAAAAGTGACTTGCGACTGTTTTTCAGCTATGACCTTTCCAGCATCCCCATCATCATGTGATCAAAATTCAGATGCTTGGCAACTGGCTCATTGTTATGGCCATGACTGTGTCCCAAGTTCATATGATCACCTTTTCCAACCTTTTGACAACAAAAGTCAACGGGGAAGCCACATTCACTTAACAACCAGGTTACTAACTTATCAATGCAGTGGTTCACTTAACAACTATGGCAAGACAGGTTATAAAGCTCACTTAATAAATGTCTCACTTAACCACAGAAATTTTAGGCTTAATTGTAATCGTAAATTGAGGACTACCTGTACAGTAACAGACTGCCTGAATTGCCTAGCCAGGGGTCTGCAACCTTGACATCTTTAAGATTTGTGGAGTCCACAAATCTTAAAGTTGTCAACATTGCAGATCCCTAGGCCTAGGCCTAGAACCAGCTCTGCCATTATGAAGACACAGGTTGAAGACCTAGGATTGCATAGGGCTGCTTAGAAGCAGAATTATATCAGTATAGAAACATCATAGTCTGGAAATTTGTCCCAATTTACCACCAAATACATGCTTACAGGTAGTCTTTGAGTTATTACGATCGCAAGTGGTGATGGTTGCCTTCACCTCGCTTAATGATGGGATGGGGGGAGAAAGGAGAGGGTCCCTGCAATCAGTCATAAGAACTAATCCACTCAAATTTTGTGCATATGACTGTGGACATTCACCTCGGTTCTGATTTACATGAAAGCTGGGACATGACCACTGAAGTAAAGTCAAGGATAGAGAAAGCTCTGTCACGACATAAGCCTAAGGCTTGTCAGATGCTATATTTTTTCTATCCTGCTCTATGATCTCTGACAGAAGGCCACCTGAAGAGACTAGAAGCATTTGAAATGTGGATTTACAGGCGGCTGTTACGTATAAACTGCATTGACAAGATCAGAAATGAGGAGGTGATAAGCCAAGGGTAATCATCAAAACAATTAAAAAATGAAAATTAGAATATTTCGGACATGTAATGCGACACCCAGAAAAATATGGCATACTCCATTTAATCCTCCAGGGGAAGATTGAAGGCAAATGAGGTCCAGGCAGGAGAAGAGGATCATGGCTTCAAAATCTAAGGGACTGGTTTGGACAAAACTCAGCAGCACTTTTTCGTGCAGCTGCTGATAAAAACAGGATCGCCAACATGATCGCCAACATCCGATAATGGATATGGCACAAGAAGAAGAGAAGATGATTGTGGGAGTGCTACAGTGACCATAACTTTGAAACCAGTGGTAATTAGCTCTGGGGGGCGGGAGTCCATCATAATTTCAAATGGTTGCTAAACAATTAGTTGTAAGTCATGGACTATCTGTACTTTAATTCACATCTTTGATTTACCTTTTTAATTCTTTTTCAGGCTTTCCTTTCCATTTTGGAAACAAGGCTTAATTTTCAGTAGCTAGATAGAAGTCCAAAGTTATAAAAACTAGAGAAAAACTTTGCTTATCAAAAGTCATTAACTTTGGTCATTTCTATAATATTACACAACTCATTCCCTCCCAAACACCAGTGTTTTTATTATAATATCAGTTCTGTTAGTTCTATTGCAACAATTACTAGTTCTCCCCAATATACATTATTATTTTTTCATAGGCAGTGATGTGATACAATATGATCTTTAAATTTTTAATGTATTTCCCTGTTCCTTACCTTTCATTCTACTAATATGATAAATTACTTTGGAGAACTGAATCCTTGCATACTCCACAATAGATTTTGAATTTATTATGTTGCCTAAGCCACAATATTTTTATTGACAAACCAAACTTTGTCTTGAATAATGTATAGAAATACTATGTGTTATTGAGTCTTTCCTCCATGTCTCTTTCTAGGTATCTTTGTGCATCATGGGGGTAAGCCGAGGATGTTTGCTTTGTGTTAAAGTGAAAATGTTTGTGTTCAATCTCATCTTCTGGGTAAGTATGGCAAGTTTGTGTTTCTATAATGAATTTGAGTGAACTCTATGTTAAAATTGAAATGATGCATCAGAGAGCCTTCCTGCTTAACAGGCTTTCTTCGTGCCTTACAAATCAGTGAATCTATTCTAGATCAGGAATATTTTCTATTAATTACTAAATGTCTGTCTGTCTAATTTAACAGTTAATATGATCGAGGGCAACTTACAAGAAACAAGCAAGATATAAACAGCAATTGGCAATGAACAATAATAATCAATAATAGGCAATCTGGCTCACATTGATAGTATCTCCTGATAGGAACTTACTCATTGTTATAACAACCTTAATCATACTTGATGAAACTTGTAGGCTGCCCAACTCTCAAGGGCTCTGGGCACTTCAGAATATTTTTTTAAAATAAATCAATAAAGATAAATGATAGCAAGTACAATGTGGTGAAGGCTCTCATTTAACCTCACTGAGAGCCTGGGTTAAAAAAACATCTTCATGCATCTTCCAAACAATAGCAGAGTTATAAACCTTTGTCTTATAGGACTGATGCTAGATTAAACAAAGTACAATGCAGAGTATATTTACTGATTCCATATTGTCATGACAAAACAATCTAAAACCTAGCTTTCTTTTCCCTGCGCACTCATTGACTGAGCTCTTATGATGTCATGGAACATTTATAAACATTGGAACCCCACAGCATCCACAACTGAACATTGGACTAGCTTCCATTGTAGAGGTGGAAGATCCTTTGAGGTGGTAGGGAGAGAGTTTGATAGACTGGAAAGGCAAAAAGTAATTGTGGGAATTAAGCTAATTATTTCTCCAGCACTGGAGATGGATAATCCACGCAGTGGGTTGAGACTGCATTCCTGGCCAATCAGATCAGTCAGCCAAAGTTGCCACGCCCCGTCTTGGACCATGATCCTAGTCTTGACTGATCTGGCCATGCAGAGACATCTACAACTTTTGGCTCCTGGGCAGGTATAGTTCCTTTCCATTAGGGGGGATTTTTTCTAGTAGCTGAAATTGCTTAGTTTAAAAGTTAATTAGAGATAATTTAATTCAATTTAATTGACCACTCAAAAATTTCCTTGCTAAATTGTTAAACTCAGGAAGTCAGATTCCTACAGGGGAAACCACCCCCCACTTAAAAGGGGGAAATCCCTAACTCCCCTCCCTAACCAACCCCAGCCACCTTCCAGCAGCCGGCAGCCGCCTTAAACAAACGGGGAGGCTCGGGCAACCCCTCGCGTTTAAAACAAACAAAAAAAAAAAAAAAAAAAAAGACAGAAAGGCAAGCAGTTAGCGAGGGAAGCGGAGGACAAAGGGGACGCATGCTGGGAGGGAGATTGATTAAGGGAAACAGCTGGCGTGCGAAGGAGCAGTCTTTTCACTCCAGGCTGCTCAGGATTTTTTAAACGAGGCGCCATTGTCTGCACAGCTGGAAGCACGCGCAGCTCTTTGTTACAACCGCACGTGGCATAGGCAGCCTTGTTAACACATGCGCAGTAGTTTCCTGGCAGCGGCGGCCATATTTTTTGTCCAAACAGGGGAGTTAAAGTTCCTTAAGAAAGCTAGGTTCAGCCGCTGGAGTGAATTAATAGGCAAGCAGTACTGGGGTACTAAAGCATCTATTATTCATTCAGAGACATTCAAATCAGACACATAGCTACTGGTTCCAGGACTTGGTGTCTTCTACCTAAAGTAAATAAGAACCTTTCATAACTAACTGTGTTTAGTTGCCTTTGGCTCCTTCCAGACTTCGGGTCCCCCATTAGTGGCCCGTACGCCTCTGGATTTAGTGGTGGGTTCCAGGCATCCCCAGTCGCGTGCCTGTCCTTACCCACCATAGTCAAGCCGGGTTCCAGGCATTCCCATTAGCGTGCCTGTTCTTATCCGTGCACAGTGACTAACTCTGACAATTTGGCAGAGTCTGCTCCTGAGTTCCAGACGCCCCCAGTAGTGCGCCTGTCCTTACTCAAAGTTGGAGCTCTCCTACTACCTGGGTCCCCCCTATCGCGGCCCAGCGTTAGTGGAGAATGGAGGAAGCAATCATTCCCTCCACTGGAGCCCCGCCTTCATCCTCTGGAGCACCTGCTTCAGAGGATTCGGAATCCTCTGCAGCCCCTAGAAAGGCTGCAAGGAAGTCATCAAAGAAGGCTGACAAACAGGCAATCAGAAGACACCAAGCCCTAGAAAAAGAGTTCGACAGAGCCCAGAAAAGGGCCAGAATTGAAAATAGGCAGAATGGGGGAATAGGTCCTGATCTACCGCTGGGTCTCCCTTCATCCCCACGGGCCATTTGGTCATTAGGGAGCTCATCACAGTCCCAAACAGAGGGTGGGATAGGCGAATTCTCATCGCTCTCCCGATCCCCCTCCCCACGGAGGTTACAGGAAACCCCGAGGACCATGCTAACCACAGCACCTGCAGGGTCGCAGGCAATGGTCACTCCTCCTGCATTGACGGGGGATCTGCTAGCTACCCTAATAGCACAGGCAGTGGACCGTGCATTTGAGGCCAGGGCTCAAACTTCAAAAGCCAAGTCTCTAGGACTTAGAACGAGGCATCGGGAGGAAACGGAGGACCATCAGGACCTCTCCTCCGTCTCAGACTTGTCGGTCTCTGAGGAAGCTTACCTGGACCAGCCAGGTACGTCACAAGGGATTCAAATGTCTGAGGAGGAGGAGGACACCTCACCTCAAGGGCCGTCCTTCAGCGGCCTGTTTAACCCTTCTCTTTTTGTTACTATTCTGCGCAAGGCTGAGGCCACAGCCCATCTGGGGCATGGGACACCAGCGGAGCCTGTCACAGTTGACACGGAGGCTGAGCCGACGTTCGCCGAAAAGGTAACCACTCAACACCGCATACCATGCCCGACCATGTTCCTAAACACAATAAGGAAACAGTGGGCAGCGCCAACCTCCCTACCGCTTCCTAGCAATGCGGAGAGGAAGCTATTTAACGTAGCAAGGGAGCTAGAGGGAACATTGGAGGTGCCGGTGGTGGACGAACCCATAGGTCCCCTGATATCGGACACGGCCATATCAGGAGATTTTGCTGAGGCTCTTAAAGCCGAGGACCGAAAGAGTGAGTCCAACTACAGGAGAACGCACCAGGCAATAGCTTGGGCTACCAGGGCGTCTACCTCCGCGTCCTTTTTCACCAGAGCCACACTTTGTTGGCTCCGTGAGCTACAGGGCCGGGTTCCCATGGAAGATATACGCACTCATCAGGAACTCAGCAAAATGGTAGCGGCCACGGAATATGCGTCGGACGCAACACTTTTAGCGACCAAGTTTTCAGCCAAGGCAATGGCGGCAAACAACACGAGCAGGCGCATCCTCTGGCTAAAGAACTGGCAGGCGGATACCAAATCCAAGTGGAAATTGGCTTCGGCTCCGTACCAAGGGGCAAAGCTGTTTGGTGAGGCACTAACGCCATACCTGACAGAGAACAAGGACAAGCGCAAGGTCCTTAAACACATGCTTAAAAGGCAGGACAAGAGACCCGGCTCCTGGGGAAGGAAACAATCCTTTCGTACGGAAGCCAGGGTCAACTACTTTCAAAATTCCCAACCCTTCCAAGCTAGACAGGATAGGGAAAGACAGGGGGACAGACAGAACACAAGACATAGGCAAACACAGGGAAGACGGCCCTTTCGGGGGAACAACCGCCCCTTCCGCCGTACCAGATGACTCCCGCCCAGACCTTCCCATAGGGGGCAGACTAGCAGGGTTTGCTCCCCAGTGGGAAGAGACCACCACGGACGTATGGGTCAGGAACACCATACGTCATGGTCTATCTCTAGAATTTCTCTCAAAGCCCCCGAACCGCTTCCGCCCGTGCCCCTGTCCCACAAACCCAACAAAGAGAAGGCTCATGAACGAGGCCGTTCAGCACCTTCTAAACATACGGGCCGTAGAGCCGGTGCCTATGAACCAGAGAGACCAGGGGTTTTATTCTATCCTCTTCGTGGTCCCAAAACCCTCGGGGGGTTGGAGAGCCGTTTTGGATTTGAAAAGGCTAAATTTCTACATAAAATACCGCAAATTCAAAATGCAGACACTACGCTCCATCCTTGGAAGCGTAAGGAAAGGGGATTTTCTGGCATCGATCGACCTCACGGAGGCATACTTGCACATCCCTATCTCTCTGGCTCACCGCCGCTTTCTACGGTTTGCCTACAGGGGGCACCATTTTCAATACAGGGCACTTCCATTCGGCCTGTCATCAGCGCCCAGGGTGTTCACCAAGATTCTGGCGGTTCTGGCAGCACAACTAAGAAACGTACCAGTCAGAGTCCAGTGCTACCTGGACGATATTCTAATCCAGTCATCGTCCGCCCAGCAGTCTCGGGCGGACCTAAAGTTAGTGATAAAAATGCTGCAGGACCACGGCTTCTCGGTGAACTTTCCAAAGAGCCATCTAACCCCAACTACGAGAATACTCCACCTGGGAGCGGTCATAGACACAAAGGAATGCAAGGTGTACCTATCACAGGAACGCCTCAGCAGCATAAAGAAAGCCGTAAAACAGGTAAGCCGCGGTCAGTCAGTGACGCTGGTCTGCCTCTCCCAGCTGCTAGGGAAGATGATATCGACCATAGCAATAGTTCCTTGGGCAAGGCTGCACTCAAGAGAACTGCAATGGTTCATGCTCCCGTTTCAGAGACAACAAATCAGTGCATCCCGGAAGAGGGTAGGCATACCTCTGAGAGTACGACACTCCCTCAGGTGGTGGCTATCTCCAGCTCTCCTCAGGGGGTCCCCCTTCAGGGAACCAGACAGAGTAGTAGTCACAACAGATGCGAGCTTATTCGGCTGGGGAGGCCACTTGGGGACCAAGTGGACACAGGGCCGCTGGTCAGCGGTGGATCTCCGACACAACATAAACTGGCTCGAGCTGCGGGCTATTCACCTAGCGTTAAGGCATTTTCACAGCAGCATAAAAGGCAGGCACGTACTGGTCCTGACGGACAACGTGACAGCCAAGGCCCACATAAACCGTCAGGGGGGCACACACTCTCGCTCGCTCTCGGCCGAGGCCCTCCTACTGGGGGCCTGGGCGGAACAAAATCTGGCCTCCATAAAGGCCGACCACATATCGGGGGAGGCAAACATCCAAGCAGATCTGTTGAGCAGATCAACAATAGATCACTCGGAGTGGCAACTACACCCGAGGATCTTCAGGGAGGTCTGTCACCGCTTCGGGCTTCCCCAGGTGGACCTTTTTGCCTCTCCTTCCAATGCCCACCTAACTCGCTTCTTCTCCCGATTCCCATCCAAGGGAGCAGAGCAGACGGACGCGTTACGGAGCCCATGGCCAAGGGGGCTCCTGTACGCGTTTCCACCCTTACCTCTCCTTCCGGCGGTAGTACGCAAGATTCTGCGGGAAAGGGCCGAGGTAATCCTTGTGGCCCCTTATTGGCCAAGGAGACCTTGGTTCGCAGACTTGAGGAGTCTCTCCCGCACGAATCCATGGCGGATTCCTCCGGAGAGGATCTCCCTCAAGCAGGGGGAGATCTCCCACCCAGAGCCACAATGGCTACAACTAGCCGTCTGGCTCTTGAACGGTCAATTTTAGCCAAGGGGGCTTGCTCACAGGGTGTAATTAGGGTCATACAGGCATCAAGGCGCCCCTCCACGAACCGTATCTACGAGGCCACGTGGAGAAGCTTCCAATCATGGTGCTCTAAACAGGAATTGTTACTCGAAGGGATCACAATTCCCAAGATCCTAGAATTTTTACTAGATGGCCTAGAGAGGGACCTCTCGCCAAACACACTGCGCAGGCAAATCGCCGCCCTCTCAACTATACTTTCTGCCAGCCCCGGTGAATCCTTGGGCAAGCATCCCTTAATACGATCCTTCCTCAAGGGGGCTGCAAACATCAGACCGCCAACCGTGCACAGGTATCCATCGTGGGAACTACCACGAGTACTACAAGCTCTTACCAGAGCGCCCTTCGAACCACTCAAAACATGTGACATTCGCTATCTGACCCATAAGGTAGCATTCTTAGTAGCCATCACGTCAGCTCGGCGGATATCCGAGTTAGCTTTTCTCTCAATGAGGAAGGACCTGTGCCATTTTCACAGGGACAAGGTAGTCCTAAGAATAGACCCTTCATTCATTCCAAAGGTCAACTCCCTTTTTCACAGATCACAGGAAATAGTCCTACCAGACTTCTGTCCAAACCCAGCTCATCCCCTGGAACAACAATGGCACACCTTGGACGTACGCAGGGCACTAAGACATTACATTTCACGCACAGCGGAATTCCGACGCTCGGAAGCGCTTTTCATATCCTTCCACCCTGCTACTAGGGGCCGGAAGGTCTCGTCCTCTACCATCGGTAGGTGGATTAGGGCATGCATCACGGGGGCATACCAGGCGGAGTCCTTGCAAGTCCCCAAGCATATCACAGCCCATTCCACAAGGAGTGCTGCCACCTCAGCAGCATGGGCCATGCAGGCTTCTATTGAAGAGGTATGCAGGGCAGCCACTTGGGCCTCGCCCTCTCCATTCATTCGTCATTACAAAATCGACAGGTACTCCTCTGCAGAGGCCTCCTTCGGTAGGAGGGTTCTCCAGCAGGTGCTAGACCAAAGTTGCACACGGGACCAGTCTATTCCCCAACCCAAGGGACAATAGGCTTTGGTATGTCCCACTGCGTGGATTATCCATCTCCAGTGCTGGAGAAGGGGCGTTGACTTACCTGAACGCCTTTTCTCAGCACGGAGATGGATAATCCACACCCACCCTTATAGACTAGAATAATAGGGTATATTTAGTGGAGCCAAAACGTCTTACTGTCAGTCAATGGCTGCGCTCGAGTCAAGACTAAAGGATCATGGTCCAAGACGGGGCGTGGCAACTTTGGCTGACTGATCTGATTGGCCAGGAATGCAGTCTCAACCCACTGCGTGGATTATCCATCTCCATGCTGAGAAAAGGCGTTCAGGTAAGTCAACGCCCCTTCTCCTGCAACAGGATCCTGGAACACAATGAGAAGAGCTGAGCCTCCGTTCTTGATTATGTGAATGTGCTTCTCTTCTGTCTCTCCCTTTAGCTGGGTGGCTGTGGGGTGCTTGGCGTGGGCATATGGCTGGCCGCCACCCAGGGCCACTTTGCTACCTTATCCTTCTCCTTCCCATCGCTGTTAGCAGCCGGATTCTTCATGGCAACAGGTGCCATCATCATGGTAGTGGGGTTTCTTGGATGCTTGGGGGCAGCCACAGAACATCGATGTCTCTTAATGACGGTAAGTAGCATCTCTTTGGACCATACTGTATGCACAAACAAGAGTCAGATAGAATGAATGTTAAATAAGCCCATTGGTAGAAGCAGGTACTATTTCTGGTCAGAGAAGGTGGTATCTACAGGACTTAATCTGAGGGATCCTTGGTCCTCTCTGAGCTTGCTTGTTTTCTTGCCGACATTTCATTACCCTAACTAGGTAACACCATCAGTGTTAGTAAGGAGTTGCTGTTCGCTGTCAGTTTGTAATTCTGGTATCTTGCCTATCTGTGTGGGTGGGGGGGGGGAAGACACCAGAATATAAACTGATAGCAAACAGCACTCCTTACTAGCACTGATGATGTTACCTAGTTAGGGTAATGAAACGTCAACAAGAAAACAAGCAAGCTCAGAGAGCACCAAGGACCCCTCATTTCAACCCTGAGCTATAAATCTTATCCTTCATTAGGACTTAATCTGAAGCAAGATTTGTCTACAGCAGAGTTCCCCAGTGTTTCCAGGGACCAATGGGGCGGGGGAGAGAGGAGAAGATTCTGCGCAAGTGGTCAGCAAGCGCCCACATGTGCACGCAGCTCCATTTGCATGAGTGGTGTGCACACGTGCCTGCTGCTTATGTAAATGGAGCATGCACACATGAGCTTATCCACTGCTCGCGCAAGTGAGGATGCACGTATGCATGCACGCCTCACCAGACATTTCTGAGGCCTGGTTGCGATCCCTTCATGGCCCACTAGCAGGTCGTGGACCACAGGTTGGGGACTTCTGGTCTACAGGACCTACTTAAAGACCAGGCATACCCAGTCTTAGAATACCATTCAGAAGCAATAAATTTCTGAGCAAGGATATTATCCCCAAGAAGGAAATCAAAAAATTAAGATGGCGACCCCCAACTATGTTATCGACACCCCCCTATTTTTTTCTGCTCCCCCAAATTGATTGCATTTCAGACAACCTTCCTAAGAATTGCTTTCAGTCTTTTGGAAGCATGACTTGACTTGTTTTCTTTTTCTCTCTTGAAAAGTTTCTTCCTTGGCACTCTTATCTTTTTATCTAATATACTGTAAGGCACAGACTCCTTTTCCTACATTTGTGTACAAAATGCTGTGGGAATTGTTGTGCGTAAAAAATGGGTCTAAAAGCTTTAATAAATTAAAATAATAGAATTTTAAAATGTGCACTTTTGGGGGGGTGGTTATGTGCAGAGAAGTCTGGATGTAATTGTGCAGCTAGGGAACACATCTGGAGAGCATCAGGCTGAGGAAGGTTGTTCCAATAATCTGGTCATATATGCACAATCCTGTGAGTCCATTAAAAATATTGAGCAGTAAGGTTCACATGATAGAAACAATCCTAGCTAAAATATGTACATAACGGTATGTAGTATACAACTGTAGTCTTCGTCTTATAACAGTTCATTTAGTGAGTGTTCAGAGTTACAACAGCACTGAAAAAAGGGACTTATGACCGTTTTTCACTTCTGACTGTTTCGGCATCTCCATGGTCATGTGATTAAAATCCAGAGGCTTGGCAACTGACTCATACTTATGATGGTTGCGTAAGTATGAGTCATGTAATCCTCTTTTGTGACCTTCTGACAAAGTCAATGGGGAAGCCGGATTCACTTAACAACTGTATGACTAACTTAACAAATGCAGTAAGTTACTTGACTGTGGCAAGAAAGGTCATAAAATGGGTCAAAATTCATTTATAATAATAATAATAACAATAAAATTATTATTATAAATAAAATAATAAATAAAGACATTTAACAAATGTCTTACTTAGCAACAGGAATTTTGAACTCAATTGTGATGGTAAGTTAAGGATTACCTGTATAAACATGAAATATGTACCTAAACATCCTGGATTGATCAATTTATCTGCTTTTTTCTTAGTTCTTCCTGGTCCTTTCTACCCTCTTTCTCCTGGAACTGGTTGGGTTGCTAGTTTTTTTCACTTGCCGGGATAAGGTAAGGATCCTTATTTTCATATATTTAGAAAAATTAGAAGGAATTGGGGCACAAGAGATTGCTTAAAGAAAAACCTCATTGCTCTGCATTCCAGTGATTATGGCATCAACAATATCAGAAATGTGTTTCACAATATGAATTGCCAGTATCCAAAGAGGTATGTAATAATACAGACTCAATTTCACGGAATGAGGAAAGAATCCATTATCCAGGTACTGTGTTTCCCTAAATATAAGACTGGGTCTTATATTAATTTTTGCTCCAAAAGACGCATTAGGGTTTATTTTCCAGTTAGAATTTATATTCGGGGGAAATACGGTACTAAATGCATCTGTCTGGCTGACAATCTTAACTGGGCCTTATTTTTGGGGTGGGGCTTATATTACGAGCAGCCTGAAAAATCATGCTAGGGCTTATGTTCCAGTTAGGTCTTATTTTTAGAGAAACACAGTAGTCCTTGACTTTCAACATTCTTTAGATGTTGTTTGAAGTTACAGCAACTTATGACTGATCCTTGCAATTACAAATGTTGCTGCATCCCCAGTCACATGATCAGAATTCTGGCAGTAGACAACGGGCATGTGCTTATGACAGTTGCAGCATCCTTTGGTCATGTGATCACCATTTGAGACCTTCCCAGCCAGCTTCTGACAAGCAAAATCAATGGGGGAAGCCGGATTTGCTTAACAACCAAATGATCCACTTAACAACTACAGTGATTCACTTAATAACAACTGCACTGATTCACTTAATAACCATGGCAAATAAAATCGGATGCAACTCATTTAAGAAACTGCCTTGCTTATGAATTCTGGTCTCTGTGGTGGTTGTAAGTAGAGGACTACTTCGATGGACTTAATTCTTCATTTCCAAAGCTTAAAGGTGACAAAGCTACAGCTCAAGTTTGACACCCTCAAAAATTTCCTTTGACGAGGTAGAGCACATATTAATTTTTTTAAAAAAAAACCAAAATAAGAAACAATTATTGTCCTGGCTAAATCATCTTCTTTGCTTCTGCTTGATCAAGAAATCAGGTCAGTCATACAAAGTTTGGTGCTATATATCAGAAAATACAATATTTAATAGTCATATACCAATGTAGTCATATTATCCATCTGTTCCTACCTTAATGTGTCCAGAACTGATGATGATGATGATGATATGAGAGAGAAAAAAAAATATGCAGGTTTACTTTCAGCCTCTCCTGTTTTCCAACTGCAGGTCTAAGAAACCTGTTAGGAAACTGGAAAATTTGCATTTGAGCATAGAATAGGGTTTCTCAAACTCAATAATATATGGACTTCAACTCCCAGAATTCCCCCAGCCAGACATGTTCTGCATGTTGTAGTATGTCCCAGCAAGCAAAGGTGCCCTTTTATAGGCTACTCCGTTCCATGTCCATACACAAACTTGTTGGCTTGTTTTGAAGTTTCCCATCCCATAAAAGTTCCCTTTAATCAGATTACTTAATGTTTGTGTCCCTGGGTAATGGTATTTTGATAATCTTAAAGGTGATATTAAAAGAACAGACTGAAGTGTTAAGTACAGGTGGTCCTTGACTTACAACAGTTCATTTAGTGACCATTCAACATTATAATGGTATTGAAAAAAGTGACTTGACCATTTTTCACACGACCGTTGCAGCATCCCCAAGATTAAATGATCAAAATTCAGTTGCTTGGCAACTGACTCGTATTTACGATGGCTGCAGTGCCCTGAGATCAAGTGATCAGCTTCTGCGACCTTGTGCCAAGCAAAGTCAAATGGGGAATCCAGATTCATTTAAGAACCATTTTACTAACTTAATGTGATGATTCACTTAACAACTGTTGCAAGACAAGTTGTAAAATGGGGCAAATTCACTTAACAAATGTTTTGCTTAGCAACATAAATTTTGGGCTCAGTTGTGGTTGTAACTCGAGGACTACCTGTATACAAGTACGGCTTGCCAGTATATGAAATATTTTAATATCAAGTTTCCCTGTCTAAGACTCTAACCAGTCCAAAGTACCCTGTTTCAGCATAGATCAGGGGTGTCAAATTGCCAGTCCACAGGCCGGATGCATCATGCCGAAACCGCGCCCACCCCATTGCCGGCAATGGAAAAAAAGTTGTGATAAGTCACAACACGTCATGTGACGTTGCGAGTTTGACACCTCTGGCATAGATCATTCCAACTCCCCTCAATTTTTAAGAATGCTTCTTAATCACCACTGTGAGGACTGAAAACTTGGTTCAGCAACCCCCCCCCCCAACCCCAGACATTTACTTGAAACACTAAAAAAAAATCATTTGGTACATGTAGTATGTCTCTCTTCCAGTTTGATCAATATGCTCAGTCTAACCTCAAGGAAGGACTCAAACTCTACGGCACAGAAGACAATGTGGGATTAACCAAAGCCTGGAACGTTGCACAAAATGAGGTGTGTAAAAAAACTGTTCAGTATGGTACCTACCTGGTTTGAAACCATTGGGAGTTTTTCCTGATACGAGGCACAAACACACACATGTCCCCCCTTTTTTTTCTTATCTTCTTGCTTTGCAGTTTCGTTGTTGTGGGGTACGGAACTACACCGATTGGTTTGAGGTGTGGAATGACACATGGGTTCCCGAGTCCTGCTGCTTACAGCGAAGCGATGGTTGTCAAAGGGACAGTGCCAGCTGGTGGAAAGAGGTGAGTTGGCAGTCAAGGATTGTGCTGAAGGTGACTGATACTGATAGAAGAGAATATATGTAACTTAGGCTTGAACTGTGGAGTCCTTGGCACTCTCTGAGCTTGATAGTTTAGTTGCAGACATTTCATTACCAAACTGGGTAACATCATCAGTGCACGGAGATTATTGGGAATTCCCTTTCCTGCGATGGTTTCCAATCTGGCACCTTTTCTAAGAGAGTCTTTGTAAAGTTTTGCCTCAGCTGTCCCCTCAGGAAAGCATGGTTCTTGAAACAGGCATCATTTCAAAAGGGATCTTTTACTACTATCTGAGGAAAGCTCACCTCCTCCCCTTCACCCAGGGAGAGAGGTTCCAAGCCGTGATGTTGCTCGCTGTCTCAGCTGGCTTTGACACATCCCAGGGCAGACGGCTGAAGAAAGCTGCCATCGCCATGGCTATCACCACCGGAATTTTTTTTCCTTTTTTGTATTTGAGTTAAACTATATTATCGATTTTATTATTTGTATAATTGGATAAGTTTATTTAGAATTTGTTTGTTTATTTGTAACCCTGTAACCAGCTCTGGGAAGTGAGGGAGGGGGAGGGAAGGAGGGGGTTATTTTAGGGGGGGGGAATATTGTTTAAAACTTGTATAAAACTTTTCAATAAAAAAAGGGATCTTTTACCAAGAGAAAGTGATTGCAAGGAAGTATGGCAGAATCTGAAGTTCCCTGCAAAAGCATTAAGCTAAAAGTCCCATTTCCCCAACCCCACCCCAATGCCCCAACCTATTAGGAGCCCATCCGCTGGTGTGAAGATGTGAGAACTTCCAGCTGAAAAGGTGATAACCAGCCATTCTCTGGTGCCTCCTCCTTACCAGCCAGCAGGAGTCAAAGCAGATGGCCCAGTGGGTTTCCCCCCCATCCCTATTTCCCAATTTGGAAACATCCTCAATTCACAATAACTCCTGCTCCCCCTCCCCTAGGAATGGCAGCTTTCTGATAGGGACCTGACACTCTGTAAAGCAGGGGTCTTCCAACTTGGCCCTTTTATGACTTGTGGACTTCAACCACCAGAATTCCTCAGCCAGGCATGCCTGGCTGAGGAATTCTGGGAATTGAAGTCCACAAGTCATAAAAGGGCCAAGTTGGAAGACCCCTGTTGTAAAGATTCAACTGCCAGATTGCAGCACAAGAGAATTGCGGGAGGCCTGGAGACATCTCCTTCCTGCCTGGATGACCTTCCAGGTTCCTCAACCCCAGTGCTCTATTGAGTTTGTTTATGCAATGATGCATAACCTGAAATTTCACCTTGCAGCTGACTGTCCTCTCCTCTGCATGTTTATGATTTTAAGGATGTCTATCAATTTCAACATTAACAATAGTGTTTGTGAATGTATGTGTGTGTAAACATGTAAAGGTAGCCCTCGACCATGATTGAGCCCAAAATTTCTGTTGCTAAGTGAGACAGTTGTTTATATGGATTTTGCCATTTTATGATCTTTCTTGCCAAAGTGATTAAGTGAATTATTGCCAGTAACATGGTGGCTAAGTGAATCTGGCTTCCCCATTGACTTTGCTTGTCAGAAGATCGCAAGAGATGATCACATGACCTTGGGACACAGCAACCATCATAACCACATGCCAGTTGCCAAGCATCTGAATTCTGATCATGTCATGGAGATGCTGCAATGGTTGTAAGCGTGAAAAATGTGTCACGTGAGTTTTGCCCCATTTTACAGTTTTTCTTGCGTCATTTGTTAAGTGAATCGCTGCAGTTGTTAAATTAGTACCATGGTTGTTAAATGGATCTGGTTTCCCCATTGATTTTGCTTGTCAGAAGGTTGCAAAAGGGGATCACATGACTGATTCCAGGGCACTGCAACCGTCGTAAATGTGGGCTGGTTGTCAAGCATCCGAATGTAAATCACGTGACCCTGGGGATGCTGCCAGGGTTGTCAGTGTGAAAAATGGTCATAAGTCAATTTTTTTTCAGTGCCTTTGTAACTTTGAACAGTCACTAAACGAACTGTTGTAAGTCGGGACTACCTGTATGTACAGATCTAGTTCCAATTCTAAAGTAGAGACAACCTTCTTTTTCTAATTCCTGTCATGTTTCCCAAATTTACTTTTGAAAGTATAATGCCTCTATGTTCAAGGAGCACCTGAAAAGTGCTAGGGGTCATTACTTGCTGATCTTTTCCAAGAGCAGAGTTAATGGCAATAATATAGCACAGATAGTCCTTAACTTACAACAGTTCACTTAGTGACTGAAGCTACAACAGCACTGAAAAAAATGACTTATGACCACCTTTCACACAACAACCATTGCAGCATCCCCATGGTCATGTGATCAAAATCTAGATGCTTGGCAACTGACTCATACTTATGAGGATTGCAGTGTCCCAGGGTCATGTGATCAGCTTTTGTGACCTTCCAATAAGCCAAGTTAATGAGGAAGCCAGATTCACTTAATAACCATGCTGCTAATTTAACAACTGCAGTGATTCACTTAACAACTGTGGCAAGAAAGGTCATTAAAATGGAGCAGAATTCACTTAACTGTCTTGTTTAGCGACAGAAACTTTGGGCTCAGTTGTGGTCATAAGTTGAGAACTACCTGTATACAAATAGTCCTTAACGTATAATCACAAATGGAACCAGAATGTTTATTACTAAGCAATACGGTTCTTAGGTGACCTGTGCCTGATGTACGGCCTTTTTTGTCACAGTTGTTAAATGAATCACGCAGTTGTTAAGTGAATCCTGCTTGACTTTGCTTGCTGAAAGCCAGCTGGAGAGGTCACAAATGGTGATCACCAGATCCTGGGACACTGCAAAAAATGTGATTACATGTTGGTCGCCAAATGTCTGAATGTTGATCCTGTGACCATGGGGATGCTGTGATGCTGTGTGTGAGGACTGATTGTAAGTCACATTTTTCAGTGCTGTTGTAACATTGAACAGTGACTAAATGAATGGCTGTAAGTCGAGGTTTACCTATATGGGACATTCCTCCCAAGGTTTCCTAATTACTGTTTTATGGGCTTCTCTTTATTTTCCTTGCAGCCTTGCTATGAGAAGGTGAAACGTTGGCTAGCGGAGAACATCTTTGCAATGGGCATTTTTGCTGCCTGTATCATTGTTGTCCAGGTGAGATGGTCAGAGCACCAATGGCAGATGGAGTAACCTAGACCAGGGGTAGGCAACCTCGGTTCTTTTATGACTTTTATAACTCCCAGAAGTATGCTGACTCAGGAATTCTGGGAGTTGAAGTCCATGAGTCATAAAAGAGCTGAGGTTGCCTACCCCTGACCTAGACCAATGTTTTTCTCAATCTTGGCAACCTTAAGATATGTGGACTTCAACTCCCAGAATCTGGGAGTGGGAAGTCCATACATCTTAAAGTTGCCATGGTTGAAAAACACTGACCTAGACATGTAGCAAGATTTCCTTGAAAGATCTCTATTCTCACCCCAAAGAGCAAGGGTGGGGAATGATGGTCCTGTGATGACTTATGGACTTCAACTCTCAGGAATTCTGGGGATTGAAGTCCACAAGTCATAAAAGGGCCATCATTCCCCACCTCTGACATAGAGCAAGGGAATGCAAGCATCTCTCCCGCCCCTCTTGGGGAGGTTATTTTTTTCTGAATTCCTCAAAGTTAACACCTGCAAACCTGATTGCACAATTTTCAGTTGAATGAGGAACAAGTAAAAATGGGCTTGCAACCTTCCCCTAGATTTAATGTACTTTTTTTTTTGCTTAATCCTCTTTAACCTAAAATAAAATAGCAGACATTTAAATCTTTGCCTGCTCAGAGGGTACCATGCATCACCTCAAGTCTCTTGCTGCACTTGGAAGATAAAAAGAAATATGCACAACAAAGTGTGATTTTTTTTCTGTTAAAAAAATGGAGACTTCATATCATGAGAAAAAGAGTAAAGATCAGGCAGAAGCCAGCTGTATACCTCATTAAAATTATGTAGGTTCAACAAAGACAGCATGTTATGTTTAGGTCATATCATGTGCAAGACAGCAATGAGATCAGAAAAATAGTATGTACATTAAATATAAAAATAATGCAAAGGATTTAAGTTTTTGGCCAGCTGTTAAAATGCCAGTTCCACTGGTTTCCAAGATTTCATCAAGCATGCCTTACGCTTCATAGTATTTATCTGGGTTTTAACATCTCCAAACTGCAAAACTTTCAATGGCCACTGGATGGCAGGAAAGAGATATATTTTCAGCATTCCTCTGCTGACATCTAGTGTTTGCATAATTTTACAAGTCATAGCCCAGCTGCAGATCTGATACCATAGAACAGGGGTGTCAAATTGCCAGCCCATGGGCCGGTAGCATCATGCAGAGGCCGTGCCCATCCCAGCTCTGGCAATGCAAAAAAAGTTGCGATATGGCGCAAGGTGTCACATGACACAGTGAGTTTGACACCCGTGCCATAGAAGGAAGATAATAGAACTGGCTTAAGTTACTTTTTAAATGTGACCAACACCCAGAAAGAATATTCAGCTCACTAAAATTTGTTTGGTTTCTATCCTGCCTTTTCCTTCAGGAGCTCAGGGCCTCATATATAGTGTCCCTTCCTGCCTTTTTATTCCCACAATCACTAGTGATGGAGAAGAAGTGGCAAAAACTGCCAGGGAATTTCTTTGGCTGAGGTAAACTTGAACCTGAGTCTCCCTCAGTGTCAGCAGGACCCTGAATGTTATATCCCCACCAGATGCTCTAAAGTCGCCTTCTCCAACCAGATCCCTCTAATTTTCAACCTGTGTGGAGAGTGCCAGGCTGAGGAAAGTTGTGTTACTAGAATAATATGTACTACCTGTTTTTGCACTATCCGAAATTCCATTAAGGAAGGCAGCAAAATGGCTGGTAGAAAAGGTGCGGAGAAGGGCCCTGCCTGCTGTATTCACTTTCTAGTTGAACCTGATTAAACTTAGTTTGAAAAAGAGAGGGGGGAGAAATGACACCTTCTGTACCCATCCATTGCTGCTCAGAACTGAAGATCTTCTGATGAACTAGTTCAGGGATAGGCAACCTTGGCTCTTTTATGACTCGTGGACTTCCAACTCCCAGAATTCCTGAGCCAGCCATACTGGCTCAGGAATTCTGGGAGTTGAAGTCCACGAGTCATAAAAGAGTCAAGGTTGCCTACCCCTGAACTAGGTCATATGGGGCTAGGCTCAGAACAGTGTTTTTCAATCTTGACAAATTTAAAATGTGTGGACTTCAACTCCCCAAATTCTTCAGCCACTACAGGGATTGGGGAATTCTGGGAGTTGAAGTCCAAAATTTTAAAGTTGCCAAGAATGAGAAGTAGTAGCTTAGAATATTATCAGTTAGTTTCTACATGTCCAAGCAGTGAGATTACTTCATGGCCCAAGCCAAGAGCTGGCAGTACTTGCTTGTGTTTTGGAGCAAAGAACAGGCATTTCCAAGAGATAAGAGTACCATAAGCTGGGCTAGGGCTTCTGTTCTTTTTCTGACTAAATCTTTCTCTATTCCTTTAGGTTTTGGGTATCGTGTTCTCCATGCTGATGTACTGCCAGGTTCGGAGGGTACAGAAATACTATGACTGACTTCATCCAAGTCCATTCCATGTCCTTTCAAACTTGGGGACATGAGATGCAGAAGGATCAAGAGCATTTTTTGCTCCTCTGGAGTTTTTTTGCATTGGTCCCTTCCCGCATCTTCTTTCAGTTTCTCTTCTTCAGGTGAAAGCCAGTTCTGTTGCTTGGTAGGTTCATACCATGTGTGCAAGAGGGGTTCTCTCTTCCCATAATAACCAGTTCTCCTGAGGAACTTCATCTCTGTTTCTATTGTCCATAAGTTTAACTCCTAAGCAAAACTCTTCTCCCTATATTTTATGATGTGGTCCCTCCAACCTCCTGCTTTGTGTACAACAAGAATAAAACAAGCACCAATAGAACAATATTTATCTTTTAGATAGTGCATTTGGTACCTGTTGTCTATTTATAGTTTGTGATATTATTTAACTGCACCTATAACTGTATTTTAAAAAGGCTGGGATGTTGACTAAAAACTTGAGATTGGCTGAGTAAAAGCTTCTTAGAATTATATGTATTATTGATGTCCCATTTTACTTGAGAAAAGCAAAAATGAATTTAATGGCAAAGCAATGTTTCCAATGAACATTGATGGGAGAAGTGGCAGTATTTCATCGAACAAAATTCCTGTTGTAGCCCTTCCATTTTAGGCAGTTATAAGAAGTCACCCGCTTGTCTTTTCATATTACAAGTAGTCCTCAACTTATGACCACAATTGAGCCCAAAATTTCTGTTGCTAAGCAAGACAGTTAAGTGAATTTTGCCCCATTTTATGACCTTTCTTGCCACACTTGTTAAGTGAATCACTGCAGTTGTTCAGTTAGTAACAGAATTGTTAAGTGACTCTGGCTTCCCCATTGACTTTGCTCGTCATAAGGTCACAAAAGGTGACGCTGCAACCATCATAAATATGAGCCAGTTGTCAAGCATTTTAATTTTGATCACATGACCCTGGGGACACTGCAATAGTCATTAGTGTGAAAAATGGTCATAAGTCAACTTTTCTCAGTGCTGTTGTAACTAAACAGTCACTAAATGAACTGATGTAAGTCCAGGACTATATTACTTGGAGTGCAGTTTCAATGCTTTTAAATTTCTGGAGACTTCCCTGGTATTTTTTTGTTTTTTCATTTAAATTATCTTTCTCTAACTTGTGCTTCAGAACTCCAGCCAACACTGATTTCTACCCTAAAAACTCAGAAAGACAATACAGCAGAAGGAGCTGGTAAAAGACAACTTTTTTTATTATTATTATTGGCTTATAGGCTGGCAGGAAGGAGAAAAAAAAAATCCTCTCTCTTCCAATTCACCAATCATCTTTGGACAAAAATAGAGGGTTTGGGCCAAAAATGGCTCTTGAAAATCTGATACAAAAGTAGGCTGAGGTGGAGGGGGATCAGTCCGAGGCTGTACGCAGCTCCTAGACCCTTTCGCATCCCACCTGCCACAGGGTGGAAGGGCACATTGGCGCTGACCTCCCCAAGAGTAAAAAGGACCCTGAAATTGTACTCCTGAAAATGGGGAGAGATTTACATGGGGGAGAAAGGAGAACAAAAAAATGGCAAAATGGCACCGGCCCTTCCTTCCATTCACTGTTCCTCACAGGGATAGTTAATTTTAAACCAAAGTATACACACAAGCCCGGTTTGTGTGCAAAGGATCTTCTTTTAAGACACTTACTGGGGAGGAAAAAAAGAGAGATGGAGAATTTCTAAGAACTTGCTGTAGAAAGATTGATGGGTGGGGGTGGGGGTGGCAGAGACAGGGCACAGTGGTAGAGCTACTTTTGTCAGGGTGTCTCTAGTGTTCCTGTCTTTGTGTGCGTGTGTTTTGTCAAGATGTGTCAGAAGCCCCTCTCAGAACAGCTGTTATAGCTAAGTCAGTGTTTCTCCATAATCTTGACAACTTTTAAGATGTGCGGCCTTCAAATCTCAGAATTCCCCAGCCAGTTTCTGGGACTTGAAGTCCGCACATCTTAAAAGCTGCCAAGATTGAGAAACACCGATCTTAGCATTCAAATCACAGAAGCTGAGGCTTCTCGGTTGGACAAAAAAAAAAAAAAAAAAGAGGTAATTAACCCTTCCGGCCCATCTGTAGTGTGAAACTGAGGTTACCCATTTTGAATTAAAGCTTGTGGGAGCCAAGGCCGGAGGGAGGACAGAATTTGAACGGTATGGCTTGAGAGGAGCTCTGAACCCTGTCTACCGATTTTTGGTAGTGGAGGAAAATGGTGCCGAGGCGGAAGGAGCAATGGCCAGATCTATTAATATTTCCGCTGCAGCTTCTGGAAGTCACTGGTGTTCAGGCGTGGCCGAGGCAGATCCCCAAACATCTCTGTGCCATCTGAAACCCGCAGCACCAAAGCTCTCATGCTGGCGGCAATTTTCTCGAGGTCAGGAGACGAATGCTGCAAAGAGGAATGGAAGTGAGAAAATGGAGAATGGGTTTGCTTTTCCTCTTGCACCTCCCAATTTCCTCGACTGTTTCCCTTGTTCCTTGTAGTTATTGATAATGAGAAATTGTGAATCTGACTTCTCTTCCACCATTACAGATAATCCTCGACTTACAAGAGTTCATTCAGTGACCGCTCAAAGTTACAACAACACTGAAAAAAGGGACTTACGACCATTCTTCACACAACTATTGCAGCATCCTCATGGTCACATGATCAAACTTCAGATGCTTGGCAACTGATTCATATTTATGACGGTTGCAGTGTATGGGGTCTTAATCAGCGACCTCCTGATCAGCAGTCAATGGGGAAGCCAGATTCACTTAACTATGTTACTAACTTCACAATTGCAATGGTTCACTGCAAGGGGCAAAACTTACTTAACAAATATCTCAGCCACAGAAATTTTGGGCTCAGCTGTAGTCATAAGTCGAGGACTTTTTTTCTATACCAGTTCATACTCTTAATTAAGAAAACAAAAAGAACCACCTGGAAAGCTGATTTTCTATACAAAATACTCATTATAGATAGTCCTCAACTTACAGCCATCCATTTAGTGACCATCCAAAGTTACAACAGCTTTGAAAAAGTGACTTATGACTGGATTCTCAGAGTTATGACTGTTCCAAGGGAACATGATCAAAATTTGGATGCTGGGCAACTGGCATGTATTTAAGATAGTTGCAGCATCCTGGGGTGATGTGATTGCCAGTTATGACCTTCCCAGTTGCTCCCAACAAACAAAGTCATTGGAGAAAGCTGGATTCTCTTAGCAACTGTATGATTTTCTTAATGATTGCAGTGATTTGCTTAACCATGGCAAAAAGGTTGTGAAATTGGATGTGAGTCATTTAATTGCCTTGCTTAGCGATGGGAATCCTGGTCTTAATTGTGATCGTAAGTCAAGGACTATTTATATACCATTTTCCATTACCTGCTCAAAGGAATGAAAACTTTTAATGTGATTAAAGAACTGCAAGCCACTTCTGATTTTTCTCCAGAAACTAGTTTGAAGCCCCTTTTTTGTAAAGTCTTTTCCTCTGAAGTATGTAACTGTAGGATTTCCCTTTTCCTCATTATACCTACCTAAGTGGTTTATGGGTAAATGACGCTCGGTATAGGGATAATTGAGAAACAACAAATAAAGCCAAAAGTCACAACTGAATTAGGCACAATTGAATGGTCAAGATAGTGGACAAAGAGCCAACCCTTAAACCAGTGTTTCCAAACCTTCCAAATTGAAGAGAAGTGGACTTCAACTCCCAGAATTCTCAGAAATGGCTACACTGGCTGTGGAATTCTTGGACTTGAGGTCCATATACCTGGAAATTGCCCAGGTTGGGAAACTTTGTATTAGGCTGTTGCATTTCTATGATTTGCTATTCCAAACTATGAAAAATAGTTTGATGGGGCCCAATGCCCTGCTCAGTCCAGAAACCCATATTAAAGCATGGCTAACAAATTGCTGCCTGTATTTTCTTTAAAACACATCTAAAGCAGGGACCCACAACCTGTTTGGGTATTTGGCTTGAACTGCTCTTACTGTAAGAAAGTCTTCTATACAGTTCATTCTGTCTGCTTTGATCTGTCTTCCTGTAACCTGAGAGCATTTTCCTGTGTTCCATCCTTTGGGATGATGAAAAACAGATTTTTAACCTTTTTCTGCAAGACCTTATTTCAGGTTCTTGGAAATCTAGCAATTCTCCCCTCGCTCATCTTTTCTAAAGCACAAATATATAAAGCTCCCTCAGACTCTCTCCAAAGACATAATTTTGTCCCTGAGCAGGCTCCTTTAACATGTTGCAAATTCTGAGTCCTCCTTAAAAAGTGGCAGCCAGAAATGCAAAATATGCTCAAGATGGTCACTCAAATTTGTAAACTTATCACTACATCAGGACGGTACAATTTTTCACTTTTAAAAAAGAAGGGAATTTGTAACGCCCTCCCCCCGAAAGCATAATATATATTTATTCAGGGCCCCAATCACAATCACTTCCAAAAAATGAGGGAACCCTTCTCTGATGGCATCACCCTCATGTCTTCTCTGGCTGAAAAGACCAGCAGGGAAGTCGAGTCTGTGGTTGGGAAAAGGTTGCCTAAAAGCCCTTGGAATCTAATCAGGCTTTTAGGCTGAATTAAGCAGTTTGTTCTCTACTTTCAGACCTGAGATAGGCTCAGCCACAACAACCCCTCTCAAGGATTTTATTACAGGTAGTCCTTGACTTATGACCAAAATTGGGACCAGGATTTCCACCATGAAGCAAAGTGGTGGTAAAATGAATCTTGCCTGATTTATGCCCCCCGTTCTTTTCAGCCACGTTTATTAAGCAAATCACTGCAATTAAGCGAAGCAGGTGGGTTGTTAATCAAATCCAGTTTTCTTCATTCATTTTGTTTGTTGGGAAGATGGCTGGGAAAGTGGCAAATGGTGATCACATGACCCCTGGGACATTGCAGTTGTTGTAAATACATGCTGGTTGCCAGAATTTTGATCACTAACCATGGGAATGCTGTGGAAGTTATAATGTAAGTGTGAGGACCCGCCGTAAGTCATATTTTTCAGTGCTGTCGTAACTTTGAACGATCACTAAATGAATGGTTGTAATTCAAGGACCACCTGTACTTAGTTGTTGAGGCTCCAGCAACACCCAAGGAAAAAAGAAAGTGTCCCAACAGCCCTTCTGCTTTCCCAGAAGACAGACTCTCAAGGAGCACTTTGACCCACCTTACTGTTCTCTTCGTCAGAGGATCGCATCTCTTGGCGTTGCTCTTTAAAGCCCCAGATGGGCACGGAGACTGGGAGGGATTTGGCATACTGATGGCTTGGGGGTGGAGGAGCTGTCTGTCCTGGAGCCTCCTCACTCAGACTCCCATCTGAGAAAAAGTGGGGATTTGGGAGGGAAAAAAAAGCTTAGACCAAATGTGCAACATTTGAAAAAGAGCTGTAGGCATCCGAAGCCTGATCTAAAACCAGGAGTTATGATTAATCCCTTTCATTTTGTTGAATTACAACTCCCAAAATCATTAATCTTTGGCCACGTTTGGCTGAAGCAACCGGGAGTTGCGATTCAACATTCAGAGTCAGAGTTAGGCAACCTTTTAGGACAAAGGCACATCTGGAATTTCGACAGCATGTGCCAGATGCACTTTCCCGGCCAGTCACAAAACACTAATTTACTAAGGTTCTCTATCACGCCAGTGTGACCTTGATAAGCTCAAGGGGATTCCTGCAAATAGATACAAAGCTGCAGGCAAGTGCATTGTTGTGCAGCATGTTGCCTTCCTTTTTTCTTATGACAAGCCTCTTTCAAAAGTGGGCAGCTATGGAAGGGTCTAGCTACACACTAACGTCTTCAAACTACCTCAGATTTTCCATCTCTCTGAACTTTATTCAAAAACTTTCCAAGTATGTACAAGAATGTGTTAAACTTTGGCGTAGATCAGTGGTGGTGAACCTACGGCACGGGTGCCAGAGGCGGCACTCAGAGCCCTCTCTGTGGGCACACGTGCTGTTCCCCCAGCCTTGCCTCCCTCCGTGACCTCTCCCCTCCAGCAGCCCCCCTGAAGGAGACTTGCCCTCGAGCGTGGCCCACACAGAGCAGTGCAGCCAAGAACATGGGAGCCAGGCAGCGTAGACAAAACTCTGCACTCATACCCCATCGCACACAGTTGATGCTGTGGGGTGTGGGCAGAGGGTGTGGTCGCCATGGCACTGCTGAGCGATCTGTGGCAGGCCCTGGAGGGGGTGAGTGGCTCTGCGGGTAGACGGGGTGGGGGCAGAGCGGGGCTGGGGCCAGTTTTTGGGCACGGTCTCTAAAAGGTTCGCCATCACTAGATTATACATTCTTGAAGATATTTTTTATCAAGTAATATCTGGAATGCTTATTTTTAGATCTGGCCAAGGCTATTCTCATTCAGCACTTCTCCATATTCTGTTTCCTGAAAATCCCAGGAAGCCAGAGATTGATTCATCAGTAGAGCAACCTTAAATCTATAATTTAAAACTTCCGCTCACCCTGTAATATAGTTTCAATTCCAAAGAGAACTGAAGATCTAGAAAAGACAAATGAAATGAAGCATCTCCCTGGGGCTTCAAATACCATTATAGTCAATTAATAAAGTTTTCCTTTTATGGCAGCCTTCCTTAATCTGGCACCTTCCAGTCCCACTGCAAATACAGTTCCCAGAATTCCCAGTCTGCATGGCCAAACATAGGAAATCCTGGTTGCTGGATTGAATACTGTTAAATTGGAGATGGCTGTCATAAAGCATTCAAGCTTCTGAGTTTTTGAAAACTCAAGTGATAATATACAGATTATTTACAAAAGTGTCAAATGTATAAATAGTGAGGAGTTATAACTTGTAAAATACAACTGTGGAGAATGACATTAAATATAAATAGGGAAAAAGTTGAGAACAAGTCTTCCCAAGAAAGTAAATTGGATCCACTCAGACATGCCTAGCAGTCTCTTTAAAGACTAATTAGACCAAGCAATTAAGGGAGCCAACTGGGTAGAGAAGACATAGCCCCACATATTAGATTGATCTCTGTTTAATTATCCCTCACATTGATATCCTTTCTCCAAGGAATAGACAAAGCAGTCCCCCCTTTCTTTCTCTTCTCTCAACAAATTTGCAAAGTATGCTAGACTAGCCAAAGTCATCCAGTGAACGGCTGAAGAGGTTTCTTTTTTATTCTCTTAGTCACTAAAATTATGCTTGTTACATGTACAGGTAGTTCTCGACTTACAACAGTTCGTTTAGTGACCATTCAAAGTTACAACAGCTCTGAAAAAAGTGACTTATGACCATTTTTCACATTTACGACCATTGCAGCATCCCCATGGGCACGTGGTCAAAATTCAGACACTTGGCAATTGACTCATACTTATGATGGCTGCAGTATCCCAGGGCCATGGGATTATCTTTTGCAACCTTCTGACAACCAAAGTCAATGGGGAAGGCAGATTTGTTTAACAACCGGGATAGTACCTTAACAACGGCAGTGATTCACTTAACAACTGTGGCAAGAAAGGTCATAAAATGTGTCAAATTTCACTTAACTGTTTCGTTTAGCCACAGACATTTTGGGCTCATTTGTGGTCGTACGTTGAGGACTACCTGTAATTGAACCTCACTAGGCTTGTCAGGAAGATCCTTACAGCAAATGAGGACTTCATGGAAGAAGCTGAAACCAAAAATTCACAGGACGTTTGGACTAATCCAGCAGATTTGGATCATTCTGAGAAGGGAGGATACCTATTCCATAACAAGAATAGGGAAAAATTCAAAGGATTAGCTGGGTTCAGTGTTGTCGTTCTTACACAGTGCTACTTCACTCACCGTCAGTGCTCTCCACATCGGAATCAAAAAAAGGCTCATAATCTTGGCTTGGAGAATCTTCGTCCATCACAAACAGACCTAAAAATGGATTGTTATCTTAAAATGTAGAATGACAGTGGCTGTCCATACAAGGATCCCTCATGTTACAATCCTGTCTCTCAACATATTGATAATCACTTTTTATCCTTCAGCTGAATAGAAATGCTGCCTTTCTCATGCTACCTTTTTTTTAAAAGAATTCTTTGTATCCAAAATAATACCATCACAATTGGAAGCTATCAACCAGCTTGCACGAACATCAAGGTTTTCTAAATACAGCACAAGTGATAGGGTGTGTGTTTGAAACATCACATCAGACCAGTTAGAACCAACCATGCTCAATATAATAGTTTTCAGCAACTGACTTGGAATCTGAAACAAAGCACACTTCAATGGCTGCTTGAAAATCCTACTTTTTATTTTAATTTATAAATTTCCTAGGAAGGCAAGGCTGAAAATATATATCAACCCTCAGGTGAGGCAAGAACAATATAAGATGGAGGAAAGGATGGAGAAGAAAAAAAAAGTGACACAGTGAAGGAGTTGTCATGGTAGCTTAATAGGCCTCCTCCATTAATAAATGTGGATTAAGGCTTACATTATTGCAATTAAATGAGCCTGTGGACCCTCCATTCACACAGACTCCTTTCATGTCAGCAGATGACAGTAAGACATCTGAAAGGAATGCACCTCAAATATGAGAAGCCAGTTTTAAAAGAAAGATATTACATTGTAGGATTACAGAGAGCTGAGGTAATGCAGGAATTAAGATACTAAACTAGAAAGTGTTAGGCCATGAGTTCTAGTCCTCCCTTAGGCATGGAAGCCAGCTGGAGGACTTTGAGCCAGACAATCCCTCACAGGATTGTTGTTGTGAGGAAAATGGGAGATGAGAGAATTACTTATGCTATAAAAATGTATTTTATATAATGTATAAAATAAAGGTGGGATATGTCAAATAATGTTATAGCACATGTTGCTGCTTATACAAGTAATTCTCAACATATGAATGGCACTAAAAAAATGACTTATGACTAGGATTCACTTTTACAACAGTTACAGTCTCCCCCACGGTTATGTGATCAAAATTTGGGCATTTGGTAATAGGCATTTATGATGATTGCAGTGTCCTGGGATCATGTGATTGCTGTTTGCAACCTTCCCAGCCAACCTCTGACAAGCAAAGTCAATGGGAGAAGCCAGATTCACTGAACAACTATGGCAAAAAGGTCATAAACAGAAGCATGATGCACTTAACAACCTCCTTGCTTAACAATAGAAATTCTGGACCAAACTGTGGTCATAAGTTGAGAGCTAGATACATAATGCCTCAATGCAGCTCATAAAGCTACAACAAAGTATAAAGCATGAAAACAATGAAATCAAAATCAATAGTTAAAAAGGCTGAGCAAAAGAGATTCTTTTTTACTAACTTAAACTCTAGAGGAGTGGGGGGGGGGTCAAACAGGCTTCCCTGGAGATAGCCTTTCATACATGATAGATACGTGCGCAACCTAATGTTCTGAAGCAGTAAATGTTCTGCTCCTTCTCTGGACTTTGGCTGTTCTGGATTGCTCCACAGTTACTTACTGAACAACCAGGATCAGAACAGTCTGAAGGAGGAATGGAATATTTCAAGATGCTAAGCTTAAAGTAGATGACCTACTTTTCCAGCAAGTCAAAATATACTGTCAACCAGCGTGACTTTATAGTCGGACTGTTAGATGTAATTCTAGAGAGACTACTGTTCCATCCCTCAGCCACAAATCTTATTTAGATCAGCTATTGCCTTTTAGTTTATCTCAGAGGGGTGTGAAGAAGATAACAACAGTGATTGCAGTAGATTGTTTTTTAAACAAGTTGTGGCCTTAGTATCTCAAGCACTCCTAAGGCCACATGCCTCTTTTGAATATTAAGTTCAACAGAAAAGGCCTTTTTAAAGACATCCCTCTGGCTTCATTTTCCGAGCTCCATTTGTGGGGCTTCTATCTTATTTCCAAACTTGGGATGCACACTACGCTCCTGCTCTTTCCACCTTTATGAAAAAAGTCTAGACCAGGGGTAGGCAACCTTGGCTCTTTTACGACTCGTGGAGTTCAACTCCCAGAATTCCTGAGTCAGTCCACGAGTCATAAAAGAGCCAAGGTTGCCTACCCTGGTCTAGACCCTTTCCCTTCAGATTTTTCAGTTTCAGCTTTCTTAATAATTCTTGTAATTGTTTTTATGAGATTTTAAGATGTTTTGGCCTTTTGAGTGCTTCATGGGAGGAAATGTAAAATATAAATTATTACAGGAAAAATAATAGAAGGAAACCATGTTGGCTTGAAAGAAGGACAGAATAAAACCATGACACACCAACAGCATGAGGAAAAGCTTCTCTTCAAATAATCTTACACATCTCCAGGCAAGTGTTCACTATACTCAGATTTGTTTTGCTGAGAGATGAAACTACATCAGTTACTTTCAGGTCACTCCTGAGGGAAGGCAGGAGTATGTCAGGCCAGAGAGAGAGACATAGCACAGTATTTGGTTCAGAGTGTCCTATTTTATGTACTCCAGATTTGCTTGTAATCATGTATATGATAAACACTCCTTATGCAAAGAGCGTTCAGGCCAATGAGGAAGACTGAAACCTGGCTACAGCCTGCAGGAAATTAGGTGTGCTTCACAAGATAGATTCAGTGGCTCAAAATGGAGCCTATTAGACATAGGACAATGTATTTTGCAAGTTGTAGGCCAACACGCCTCTTCACACAACTCAACAATCCCAGTTAGCTCAAATGGGTTCTCCTAAGCCTGGAAGCTAAAAAATCTTTCTGCACACATCTTCAGGCTTCATTCAGGACTGTTGTATGCATTAAATACATAGCAAGAGAGACTAAAGGTTCACAGGGCAAGGTACAAAGACACACCCAACATGGATCCATTAGATACAGTAGCTAAGACTAGAAGCCATGAAAGTATCCAATCTCCTTTTTCAGGCATGTGCTCACAAGTGACTTCTATCTCTTTCTACAATATGAACAAAGTACCTTTAAGAATTCTGAGGATTCTCAAATTAAGCTATGTGAAATGCTTCTCAGCACCTGAAAAATTGTTATCTAAAGGTAACTTGTTACATCTACACCTGATATGAATTATTGTGACTAGATAAATTCACATTCCTTAATATAGCTGTTCTGTATCTTTCAAACGACAAAACCAATTTGAAATGTTATACTCCTATATATCAATCTATAGACCAACAAGATCTTCAGCTGAGATTTGGCTCTGAGCTGCAGCAGATAAATACTTGGGACTTTTTTGGTAAAGGATCCCAATTCTGAAACACTCATTCACTCAGGGTTCCATTTTGTTCCCAAAATGAAATTGCTCTTCGTTTTTATTAATTATTTTATTGCTTTTTCAGGGGACCTTTAAATGATATGAATTCATATTTTTTTTTTCCTTTCAGGCTCCAGCACACTAACAATTTGTTATTCTGCTACTTTTTCATTGGCCTTTTAAGCTATAATAAAGTTACCCTGTTAAATTCTTTTTGCTTGCTGATTTGCAAGTCCTTTTAGCAGAAAAATAAAGTATAAAGGCCAAAAGGGAGATAGAGAGGAATGCAAGGGACTGTGCATAATTGTGTGTTCACTTCATTCTCAAACTGCTACCCACTCTTCTGTCAAACCTAATACCTTGGAGTGTGCCTTCTCACTTCAGCAGAGCATTTTGTCACAACTGTAACATTAGGAAAGGAAAAGTGCTACTAGTACATAGTGTTTATTCTTGCTAAAAAATGTGATGCGAAGCTAGTGCCTTCAAGCAGCTCACCAAGCCTTAACTCAATGTGACTTTTCTTATTATACAAGTCACAGTTCTAAAACTATGTTCAAGCAAGTCAAGGTTTGGCACAAGGTGTGAATCAGGTTGCTTTTCTTAATGGATCCAGTTAAAATGTAGTCCATTACACTCTTAACTTTACTTATTGTGGATTTCTACATTCAGGCATCTGACGGTTGGATTTTAACTCCCCTGGGCCTTCTATCCAGATGCTGGCTGGCAGGTATTGGAAGTTAAAGTCTGACACATCTGGAGAACACTTGACTGGGGAAGGTTGACCTTTGTTATAGAACTTTATAAAAAAAAAGCTATAGGTCTCTACCTTCACCCTGTAATTTCCAGAGTGCTGTCCAAGCCTGGCTTTTCAAGCAAAGCTTTGGAGTGAGCAGTCTACTGGGTTGATATTTGACAATTATATACTTATTGCAGGCTACTTGAACAATTTATAGAAAAACAAGCTATAAATGCAAACTTGTTGCACAGATACATACCAGTAGTGTCACTAGGAGGGTCTCTCCCACTGGATTGTTCCAGTTCAGTCAATGTATTTCTGTCCCCTTCATCATCTTCATCTTCATGTTCTTGGCCTCCTGAAGCCTGAGGCAAGTCCCCCTGGAAGGTAGGCGTCCTGTGTGGGGCAGGTTCATCTGGAGCATAAGTAGGAGGGTAACTTTGGGAGTAGGATCCTTGTGGGGGAGGTGGACGAGGGATTGAGGGAGGGCGGGCAGCATAAGTGAAAGCAGTGGTTTTGTGAACCACTGCGATATCTTCGAGGTAGCGTTGAACGGCATCTGCTAGAGCCCCACTTCCATGCTGCGCATAGCTGTAGTTGCCAGGGGGTGGTGCCCGGAAGGCTGTGAGCAAAACAATTTCATTGCCCGTTTGACGCCGGTACTGTTCCGCTGCAGCCACCAGGGCTACCCAATTTTCCTTATGATTATCTGCCATATCTGTCATCCTGCAGGCAAACAAAATGAAAAGGACCCTGAGGCTAAACCATTGCACAGTGGAAGACAACTCATCCATAGTTAAAAAGCTGAGCTGAAGAAAATATTAAAATATTCATAGGAAGGAAACAAGCACCTGTTTCTAAGCGACACAAATACTGCACTGCAACAGGCATTCAAATTCACATGATGCCTTTTTAAAAGACAACTTCTGCTGCCTATGGTTGTTTTTGCCCAGTCAAAAAGTAAAATATTTTTAGTCAATTTGCCTAGCCAATTAATCAGCTGAATGTCACTGCCCTAGTTCGCTCTGGGGCACTTTTATGAGAGAACAGGAATGGACAAAAGGCCAAGAAACCTGGTCTGCCTCAGAGAGAGGTAATTCAGTTTAGTAGAGTAACCAGGGCCTGAATTCAGAACACCTGGCATTGACCAGGAGCTTTTTTTTAAAAAAGTTAAAACGCCACGATGAACAGCCTTGTATGAAAACCAAGAGAGGCCACAGTACATCTTCTGGAAGAGCCAAAGAAGCTGGACACCTCTGGGTTTCTTTCATGGCGAGAAGCAGCCAGAGCAGGAGCTTGCAAGAGGCAAGCAACCAACGGTGGTGTGCAGGGCAGAAAGTGGGGTTCAGATGATCAAGATTGCTTTGGAAAGAGCATGCACCAGATGTGGGGGAGTGGGGTGCAGAGAAGGCTGTACAGGGAGGAAAGCCCCCTTTTCCAGAGAGAAAGAGGTAAAAAGGGGGCACCAAAGCAAATGATACAGCCCTGGAATAAAAGCAAGGAGTGGGTGGGGGGGACACATACCGACAGATAGACAGACAGCACTGTGAGGAAGAAGGGACGCCCCCGGGCACAAGTCTTCGCTTCTCTCCCCAGCCCTCCCCCCCCCTCCACAAGCAGGGCTCCGAAAGGAAGCGGCGGGGGGGCGCATATTACCTTCTCCTGTCTCTTATTTCTTTTTTTTTTTCCTCGCTTAAGCACCGGAGACCAGTTCCCTCCCAGCCCCCTTGGGGGGTCAGCAGCCGGAATCCTGACCTCTCACCTTTAACCCTTCCCAGGACACTTATGCTGCCCCCTCCTCCTCCTCTTCTAAACAACAACCGCCACCTCCCCCTCCCCACCCCCAAGACTCCGCCTCCTCCGACCGCCCTCACAAGACATGAGACCAGCGCCCACCCATTGCCCTTTTCAAAGATGGAGAGCGGGGAACAAAGGAGGGCGTCGGGGAGAGGGAGGAGTTGAGAACGTCGATTGGCCTTCTTATGCCCGGCCCAAAGATGGCATCGGAAAGGGTGAGCTTTTCCTCGTGCGCATGCGTGTGATTGTTTATCAAATCGGGGGTTCACCTTAAATATTAAATTCATTCATTTTTACATTTTGAGGGTTATCAAAATCCGAATGGCGGCCAAGAGATACTGATAATTCTTAATATGGCATATTAGAAGAGAGGGAGAAAGCTGTATGTGATTGTGAACTTAGTAGGAAACCAGCCGAACCTCTGTAAAGATGAGGCGAGAGAGGAACTCAGGATACCTACGTGAAAGTTGAGGAATCTCAAAGCTACCCGTTAAAAAACATAACACCTTCGCTGAGATTTTCCGCAGACGATTTAAACCGCCAGGAGTCGCTAGCGAATTGCTATAGTAAAACGCTGCCCGTTCTTAAGGGAAAATGTTGCTATGCTGCAGATATTCTAAAGACCAGCAGGTGGCAGCAAAGAGAAGCAGAAGCCACTAAGCCAGTGTTTCAATTTAATCAATCATGGCGACTTGAGGCTTTGTGGACTTCAACTCCCAGAATTCCACATAATTTAAAGTTTTCAAGATTGATAAACCGTGCTCTAAGCTTCTTGCTGCCATCGCCTGGTCAAGCCTGGAAGACCTTCGTTGCTCATTCTGGAGACTGAAATCCCTCGTTTCACCATGCTTGCCAGAGTTTTTCTAATGCAGTGGTTCTCAACCATTTGGGGTCGAACGACCATTTCACAGGGGTCGCCAAACAACGCAATCCACCATTTTCTTTTCCCCTTTTCCTTAGCTGTGCTACTCCCTTTTATTCTATTGGCTTTGGAAAGCCAATAGAATAGACTCTCTTGAATAGAGTCTAATTCTATTGGCTTTCAAAAGCCAATAGGAATTGTCCAGGCTATCTCTGCCCTGCTGAACCCGCCAAAAGTCCCATTCTGCAAACGGTGCTGCACCAGTTGAGTAGTCCTCGACTTATGACCGGTTGAGTAGTCCTCAACTTACGACCGGTTGGGGGTCGCGGCATTAAAAAGGTTGAGAACCACTGTTCTAATGCATTATTGATATTATTCTGATTTATTTGCTTGGTTGTGTAAGCTGTCCATAGTCACTGAGAGCTGGGTGGCATTTATTAGGGTTCGCCGCACAGCCAGCCAAATATTTATTTGGCATTTATTCACCTATCTAGTCCAAGGACCTAGGATAGGCACGTGTTGTTTGATGGGAGATATATACTGAATCATCATCAGCATCAAACACTTCTGTTTCTAGAATACCATTCTATCAGGCAGAGTTTTTACAACCTTTCAACTTCCAAGTATAGTATGTGAATCTTGACTCCCAGAACACCCCAGCCAACAGGGTTGCTAAGAATTCTGGGAGTTGAAGTCTCAGAAAGCATCCCACTCGGAAACTCTAAGTGTGTAAGTTATTTGTCATTTGATAGAAAATTCTTCCCCCATCTATTAAGATAGGAGAAGGATTTACTTTCTCTCCGCTGCAAGATTAATTTTATATATTATTTCATTCAATAAAATTCCCTCGCTTCGAGTGCGTCCCTTTGTAATAATTGAAAGATAAACTTTAGATGAGCCTTAAATATTTCATAGACCCAATTTTCTTGGTAAAAATTTATTGGCATTATTTTTTTCTGTCTCCCCCCACATCTAGTCTTGCTTAACAGGCTGTCAATCAATCCATCCTGCATGGACCCCAGGCTTAACTTCCGAGGCCAAAATCACCCAGATGCTTCCATGTGCCGGCTCCCTAGTTAAATCATAAAATATATTTTCTATTTCGTACCTTATTAAGTTCTTCGAATGTATACGCATTCCTTAACCGGGGACATAATTATTTAATATTACCTGCATACTGGCAGAAAACGTATAGATAAAGTCATGTTTAAAGAGCCAGCCACTTTGACCTTTTCAAAGATGGCGCCAAAAGCTTCATGTGTGCTTCCAAACGGGACATTCAACCGTTCCAGCTTGAGCTTTTTCCGCGCCAGAAACAATGATGACGGCTTCAAGACATATTTTTTTAAAAAACAAACCCAATCGGGTCAATCGGAGCAGGAAATGACGTGTTTGTTTTTCAGGAAGTAGCTGTCAAGCAGAATGGAGTTAGGGGGCTGCAGAGTAAGAGAGGCCTTTAATCCTGAAGGACGATGCTCGTTAGGCTCCGCGAAGCAAAAAACGGGCTGTCAAAGGAAAAGGGGATTGGGTTTTTTTTTTTTAATCCCAGCATGAGCTGAAAATGATTCCCCGGGAATCGAGGGCCGGCTGTGTCACTCCGTATGGAAACTCTGGTTTGTTAGAAATGGGGAAATGTGCTTTCATCCGTCTTGGAAGTTACAGGGAGACGTGATATTCCTCCTAGATCAGGGGTTCTCAACCTTGGCAACTTTAAGACTTGTGGACTTCAACTCCCAGAATTCCTCAACCAGCTTTGCTGTCTGAGGAATTATGAGAGTTGAAGTCCACAAGTCTTAAAGTTGCCAAGGTTGAGAACCCCTGTCCTAGATGTATTGAGACTCCCCCCTTTCCCCCCCCCCCCGGTAGTATATAGAGGTTGGTTATCAGCGTTACAGTTATATAAAATGGTGTTTCCCCCCCCCTTTTGTTTTGGATTTGTTTTGAGGCTTTGACAAATCATTAAAGGAGTTTGGATCTGGTTACCTGAGCTGCACATTGGGGGAAAAAAAAAAACTGGAGGAGTGGAATTCTGGTTCTTTCCCTGCCCTTTCCATTCCTTTTCTTTTGACTTTTTGCAGGTTGCATTTGAGAAAGATGGGGTCTATTTACACACCAGTGCAAAGCGGCATCCTGACCAAGATTCCCTCATACCAGGAGTTATCCGTATCATTGAGAAGGTGGGTCGAGAGGTTGCCAATTAGATTGTAAACTGAAGCAGGAGGCTATGTGGTTGTGGTGAGAAAATTGGTTACATTGGGACATTGGTTTTATTGGGGCATTGTGTTCAATCCTATTTACCGTTAAATGAATGGACAAAGCAAGTTCAAGACTTTTCTCTTTTCCTTTTTTTTGATGCCTGAGGAAGAATCTGAGGCTTTTGTAGTTTTGTCATATTGACTCATTGTGGTTAAAGGTAGTTAGGATTCATTTGAACAAAACTGGTCAGAAGAGTGGAAGCGTCATATTTGAGTCCAAGTATTTAACAGTTTGTTCATACTACAAGTTGTCTTCATTTAGTGACTACAATTGGGACTGGCAACTCGGTCATTAAAAAATGTGTTACTTAAGATCACAATGTTATGGTTTTACTTCAGTTTTCCTTTGCTTTGCAGACCTGAGAAAGCTGTACATGTGAGGTCTGGTTGCAAAGTTACTTTTTTATCACTATCGTAACTGCAAAAGGCAGCTAAATGAGGCAATTGTTAAATGAAGACTACCTGTATGGTATGTTAATGCATGTGCACAAATAGTAGATTATGTTGCACATAAAAGATTTAATTATTTCACAAGAAATTCTAAATTTCCAGCACTTTGTGATTTAAGCAGTGTGTATCAAAAAGCATTAGGCAGGTTGTGATATTTTAGAAAACAAAGTGGGGCACTTTGCATTTCAGTATTTATGCATAAATTGCTTTTCAAGGAGGAAACACGTGAAATTGAACACTCCTTTGATTCCTTACATTTCAAAGTTTGAAATTCACATTTTGGAATGAGAGGTTTTGTTGGGATATTTTATTGTGCTTTTTTTTTTTTATCCAGGGTTCAGATACTTTACTACAATGGACCCCTGTGGAAGAGTCTTCAGATACTGCTCAAATCATGTACACCAAAAAGGTAAGATTTTCTGCTGATTTAATCCTCTGTCTATATGTATTAAACTCTGCAACATATTTGCTCTGAATGTGTTGGCAGAAGTAAAAATTTCTTTAGTAGTTTTTTTTAATTTTTTTATCAAGCACTATATAAGTTGTTTGTTCTTTGCAGAGCAATATGTTGTGGTATCTTTTCGCTCTGTCTAACAGTAAAAAAAAAGACTCTTAATCTCTTGAGGAAAATTGTTACAAGAATATAAAACAATGCTTGGGTTTCAATTATATGCCTTAAATTCTACTAGAATTATTATAGTCCTGTATCATAACGGAACCTGCCCATCACAGTTATAACTTGTGACAGTTGTAAAATGGGTCGGTCACAATATAGACCTGATTTCACAACCTTTTTTGCAGCAGTCATTAAACAAATCAGTGGTTTGCTATGAGCGCAGTTTTCCCAAAACCAGAAGTAAATGCTGGATTTTGGGTAAAATGTGGTCATGTGACAGTGGGGCGCTGCAAATAGTTGTAAATGTGGCCTGGTTGCAGAGCACCCAAAGTGCAATCGTGGTGCAGGGAGGAGTGACCATCAGAAATTTGAATCTGCATCATAAATACCCCCCCCCAAGTAGGTCTGTTGGAACTTTGAATGGTTGCTAAGTGACTGGTCATAAGTTGAGAACTACATGTACGGCTATTCTTCTGGTGTCTTCCCAGCAGGTTTGGATAGATCTGAAACATTGAATAAATATTTGTATGCTTTTAATATTTTTAGGATCCAAATGCAAGTATACTTTGTGCTTTTTTCAACATAAAATTGGTAATCAGGGAAGTTAGGCTAGATGCTCAGGGGTTCTCTTCTACTATGCAGACAGACAGTGGTCCTTCTTCTAGTTGCCAAATAGAGATATTGTGGGAGTTTACTGAATAGAAACTGTCTCGTATGATAACATAAACCAGAAGAAATGTTCAGGAAAGGTTGATCAAAGTTATGACAGCATTTGGTACTCTTATGTGGCTTCTTCAGGGTGGAGGAAGATTTTTTTTAATGGTTTCTATGTTG